CATTTTTCTTCTTTTTCGCTGCATAAACTGTCAGCGTGGTTGGTGCCAGATAAAATTAAACAGAAACAGTTCACACAAGTGAATTAAAGACTTTGTGCGTTATTTTGAATATGATGATAGATGACGTACTGCTGTATGCTGCAGTTTAACCATCATTAAAAAACAGAACAGTTATGGTTCACACCCTAATGTGGATGACTCACGGTCACCTGCGTTAATTTTTCTGGTTACACAGAGTTACCGTGAGGCCACTACTAGAAGTACCTTTTACTGTACTCTTCCAAAAAAAATGATTTGGATCTAGTTTGCTAAGGCATGGCATTGCACATGTACTTTGTGTCCAAGTCTGCTGCAATCCAAAACTTTATTCCAAACTTGTCCGGTTTGGATGCAATGTATTGTAAAAAAGAACAACGCACCTTTGTGGGAAACAACTGTTCATCAACAGTTATGTGTTGCCCTGGGTTGTATGACAACACAAGAACTGTATGTACTTTGGGAGCTCATGGCTGAGATTTCCTTTGGTAAAGCCCCCGAGGACAATAACTAAGGAGTCTGAATTTGTCCGCTCCACAGACAGGTTGGCGAGCACCCGCTGGGCATCCTGCACGCCGGTCTGCGACGGCATGTAAACGCCGACCAGAATGAATGAAGCGAACTCACGGGGAGAATAGTAGGGTTTATACTTGATCATAAAAGTTTCCAATTCTCAGGAGCAGAACTGTAGGATCGCTGTAACATCGCTACACCAGCCACAGTTCACTACAGTTGGAACCCTAGCTAGCTCAAGCGTGGGATCTGGTGTCGATCCACACCGCCACATCTCCGTGAAGCACAGGACAGCGGAGAAGGAAACATCTGTTATTATGCACAAGTAGCTGAAGTTGGTCAACTTCGTTGTGCAGTGAGCGCACATTAGAGAGGAATATGCCGAGCAAAGATGTATGTATCTACAGGAGAGTCACCCTGGGTGATGGGGCGCAGATGGGGGTGGGGTCGTCCTGAAGTCCACTGTCATCTCCACTGTTTTTAGGGCATTGAGCTCTAAGTTGTTGAGTCAACACCAGGTCACCAGGCGGTCAAACTCCCCTCTGTACGCTGACTCCTCTCCATCAAGTCCAATGAGGGTGGTATTATCTGAGAACCTCAGGAGCCACATTGTCTTTCAAAGCAACAGTAGTGGTCGTTCAGCCCATTTGCAAGGCACATGTTGTTAATGGAGTTCCGTGTTGCGGCCCATTCTGTACAGTTGGAACCCTAGCTAGCTCAAGCGTGGGATCTGGTGTCGATCCACCCAGCCACATCTCCGTGAAGCACAGGACAGCGGAGAAGAAAACATCTGTTATTATGCACAAGTAGCTGAAGTTGGTCAACTTCGTTGTGCAGTGAGCGCACATTAGAGAGGAATATGCCGGGAAAAGGTGTATGAAGTCCACAGTGGTGCAGCCGTACGAGCCCCGTTTCACAAGTGTAAGCAGCCTCTGGTGTTCTGGAGATCTCCTGGAGATTGCCTTACCTCCTTGCTAGGTTACCTCCTTGCTAATCCTGTATTTTGACTCTTTGTAACTCTCTTTGTCTCCACTCCTGAACGCCTCTTCCTTGAGCCTTCTTAGCAGAGTTTTGCTGTGAACCAGTTTTGAGTCCAAATGTCTAGAAACTCCTGTTTGTTGTAGGACAGCAACGCAGAGCACATACACTTACACATACACTTGGGGGCAGTTAGAATGCCTGGCACAGGACCGGAGTGCTTGGAGGACCTTCCACGGTGGCCTTTGCCCCAACTGGGGTGATAGGCCCCAACTAGGGTGATAGGCCCCAACTAGGGTGATAGGCCCCAACTAGGGTGATAGGCCCCAACTAGGGTGATAGGCCCCAACTAGGGTGATAGGCCCCAACTGGGGTGTGCAGTGCAATGAGGAATGCTTTGACCTGTACGTTGGGGGAAACAATGCAGCCATTATACAAACGTATGGCTCAACACGGGGGCCAGGACTCAGTAGTCCACCTCCACCCCCACCTGAAGGAGAAGGGGCACTCCTTTGATGATCATAGGGTGCGCATTCTAGCCAGAGAGGACATATGGTTGGGGAGAGGGGTGAAAGAAGCCTCCTCAAATGTACTACTAAACGATCATATTGTTCCGGCCCTTGACCACTTTAATCAACACCTCACCCCGCTTTGGAGTGGACTCCCCCACCAGAAAACTAGAACTGATGAAGCCTCTTGTATGAGAGGCGAAATGTCTGTAATTGGGAAATTAGTTCATGCTAATCCAGTACCTGTACACAAAGGTCCCTGGAGTAAATAATATTTGTTTAAATACCATTTCTCCAGTCAGGGAGAATGAGGCAATAAAACGTTTCCATTACTCAGTGCTCAACCACATACAGCAGCGTTACTTACATGTTGTTCTGGGCATCGCTGTCGTGCATGTCATTGTTTTGGGAATCGATGTGTTTACCGGGGCTGTTCCGGTTGGAGTTGTCCTCGGGTAACCGTGGCTCACTACCTCGTGCCGCAGGATCAGCCGCTCGTTTGGTGCTAATGTGCAGAACAGTGTTGGAGAACGTAGCAGGCTGTTCGCTGTAGCCCTGGACTGAGAGAGGACTGGAAGGGCAGACTGGAAAGTGGCCAGGACGCACGGCCTTGGCTGTGAGTGGAAACAGAGGGCAGGGTTATTGATTTTGACTCCAAAAAAAGGGAAAGGATTAAAAATATAAAAAAATAAGCAGTGTTTTTTTTAAAAAACTTCACTGAGGTACGACAAAGAAGAACATTTGGAATGCGCTCAGCTTCTCGGCAGCATTTATTCAAAGCGGTTCTGAAAATGCCTCTTAAATCAGTCTTCATTGTCTGACAACAGTGGACGAATCTCATTCATTATCTTCAGTTGAACCAATGATGAAATGAGGTATTGATAACAAAATGATTGCACTGCCATTTCAATTACTCTCCTCTCTCATGAACACAATCACTGTGTATTTCAGCAGTGAAACGACTCACTGCTGGTTCTATTTCATTTTCGGAATTTTTGTATCAAAGCAGCACAAAAAAAAAAAAAACCTTGACTTTCTACCAGGTTTTAAGCACATTTTTGTCTATTGCGCAGTGTTGACTTTGACGCTGACAGTTCCAGAACACAGAACTTTACCACAGGAAAGACTCATGTCTGTGTTTGAAATGATAGTGATCTTGTGAGTGGTGGAAGGAAGTGTGAGCTCAGTGAAGTGTGGAGAGAAGATGAAGCCTGGGGGAAACTACAGCACGGATATGTGATGGATGGAAGCTTCCAGCAAAATAAAAGATTCTTCAAGGACAAATATCAGATAGAAGACGTAGAAAAGTTGTGGGTTGATACCTGAACTGTGGAAGATGATTTTTGATTTTTTTTTTTTTTTTTTTGCTGCTTTCGCTCATTCAAAAATGAATGTATCCTTTTCAAACTTCTCAACTTTTCAGTTGATATAGCTCACTCTGCCGTTAGAGTGACTGAAATATTTTGTTTTATTTTAAAATGAAAATGAAAAAATGAATATTCAAATGAATTAATTTGGTCAAAATTAAATCATTTGTTTAACTAAACACTTGAGCTTGGTTAAAAAACAACGTTTCTATAACAAGTTTAATTGATTGATTTATGGTAAATGGATTGGATGTAATCAATCAACCAGTGAAGGAGCCACTGATGAGTCGATTATAAGACTTAATAAGAACACATCAAAGATTTCTGATCTTGCTATTTCTCTAATTTAAAAATAATAAAGTCCTGAAAAGTGATCGGAATTCCAGGGAGAACCTGCAGCCTTGAAAACCGCTCATCGATCTGTGCGTTTAATATCAAAGGCTTTTATCTGTCAAGAAGAGTTGGTACGAGTTACCGATGTGTGCAGTGTGAGGCCGGCGGAGAGGATAAAGGGCCCCCACCACGGCTTTTATTCGCTCCCCGAAGCGAAGGTCTGCGTTGTCACGAACCAGCTGGAACAGAATGGGAATAAAAATAAATAATGACGTAACGTGTTTGACCAAGAAAAGCAGCGTAACATGGTTCAAGAGACATTTAGTTCAGTCCAAAGCAGAAGATTTTTTCTTTTATTTATTGGAATGCGCTAAAGCTCTGCTCACTTTCCGACCAACTGGCTGTGGTCATTTTTTTTATTTTTTTATACAATATTCTTATTTATTTTACCTACTTTGAAATTAATATATTGACTAAAAATAATAATAATCATAAGTGTGTTGACTTTCAGCTTTAAAAAAGCCTTACATTAATTAAAAAAAATTAATAACAATACTAATAATAAATGTTTACCTGCATGGTGTTAACCTATATAATACTGCCCTCCAGTTCATTGATTATCTATTGAAATCCAACCTAAAGAAATTTCAGTTCTGGTACTTGATTTCAGTCAGTACATAAATGGAAAAAATTGAATCCTGTTTTCCATCATATGTTATAAAGCACAAACACTGAAGAACTCCTGGATGTTTTTTTTTTTTTAATGGTTTAAAAGAAAGCAGAGAAGTGGGTGTGGCCTGAATGTATGTGCTGAGACCTTAATCAAAGTGAAAGTGGATTATTTGTCATTGTGACACAGCTCGCCACTGAACACAACCAAATGTGACCTCTGCTTTTAACCCATCACCAAAGTGAACAGTGGGGCAGCTTTAAGCTCAGTGGTAACTTGGCAGCTGGTGGACTCGAACCTGAAACCTCCCGGACCCAAGTCTGCTTCCTTAACTACTAAGCAGCTGCAGCTGAGCTGACTCCCACAGGTGCTGCTTGTTAGCAATCACAGAGATTCACGAGCGGGGGAGCAGAAGTGTGACTGCAGCAGAAAACCTTTCATTTTGTGAGTTGTAATCACACCCCGGTATTTTTCCTTGCAGCGATAAGATTTGCGTCAGAAAACGGGTAGGAACGTTAAATTATTACTATTAAAAGCTACTTGTTCAGTATTTCTTGAACCTATAAAGTAAGGTTTAACAGCAGAGAGGTGTCAAGGCAAAGACCAACCCATTCTGTCAGTTATGTCTAGAAACGTCTGCTATTCACTTTCCAACTGAAGGTCAGACGAAGTTGAAACATCAATCTGTGCAAGAAAAAAAAAATCCCAGCTGCCTTAGTACAGAGCTCTGCTGCGTAAATATACTGTTGTTATGGGCTTTTTTAACAGGTATCGTTTAAAAATCATCTATCATTTAAAACAACAATAAACCTCTTTCACTGCTGTGGTAATGACCATCAAATACTTCATTTAAATAATGTTTGCCTTGTGTTCATCTAGTAAAACATGTGTTTTACTTCAATTTCCATTTTCTGCATAATCCCCCCCTGCAAATGGTTGAAAAGCTCCAGGCGCCGCACGTGTTAATGGCTCGGAGAGAGAGATAAAAATCCCAAAGATGTTTGTTTTGCCCTTGAACAAAATTGTGTTTTCCGTGTTATTGACTTTTACATTGCTGCATACATCAAGTTTACTACAAACAGAGCTGGCAAACAAATACACAAAAAAAAAAAAAAAACTGAGAAGTTCAGCAGAGCTGGCAAACAAATACACACAAAGAAAAAACTGAGAAGTTCAAACAGGTGGGATCGTGATCATTCAACATGATCCAGTTATTAAACCCGTGAAGAGAGATTTAAGGATTTTCTAGAGCAACCTCAGGCAGGACTGCAGGTTTAGAGAGAAAATGGAGGTGAAATTAAAATGAAGTAAAGTTATGACGGAGATAACGGGGGTAGAAATGTTTTCACATCTTCGCAGTGGGTTGTAAAATGACTGTAGAGATTTATGGCCAAGTCTGTGGTCCGTCAGCGCCACGGTATCAGAGGTGTTGGTGGAGGTGGCGGTGCACAGGATGGAGGTCTCGCAGCAGCCACTTAAAGGATTGGTTTTCTCCCTGACAAACTGCTGCATTGCAGCTCCAACCAATTTGTCAACCCGAGTGTACATGGCTGCCGGCACAACTTTTAGCACATTATTCCTTCGCCCAGTGCTTTAGTGCATTAGGTAATATTAGCAAAAAAAATGAGAAGTGAGTGCGTATTTATTTATGTCGGGGCTGGAGGATGCTTTCAAGAGTTGCGTTTGTCATCCGGAGGAGGAGGTAAAAAATGTTGAGAGTGCCTGTGTGCATCGACTGAAAGATCAATTCATTTGTACGTATTAAATCTGACTCCAACTGTTTTATGAACAGTGGCGTCGGTTCCCTGAAGGCAGCGCCTCTAACTTAGCTTATAGCTCCCTCGTTTCTTCCTATTATGTTCAATTAAACCTTCGTTTCAGAAAGGCAAGAGTAATTACAGGTGCAAATGTTTTATGGCCAGCTGCAGGGCACTGACTGACTCCAGTGCTGCATATCATTTTGATGACATGTAGCTGCTTGCGCTACTTAAAAACAGGGTCAGACGAAGTTGAAACATCAGAAAAAAAACCCCAGCTGCCTTAGTACAGAGCTCTGCTGCGTAAATATACTGTTGTTATGGGCTTTTTTAACAGGTATCGTTTAAAAATCATCTATCATTTAAAACAACAATAAACCTCTTTCACTGCTGTGGTAATGACCATCAAATACTTCATTTAAATAATGTTTGCCTTGTGTTCATCTAGTAAAACATGTGTTTTACTTCAATTTCCATTTTCTGCATAATCCCCCCCTGCAAATGGTTGAAAAGCTCCAGGCGCCGCACGTGTTAATGGCTCGGAGAGAGAGATAAAAATCCCAAAGATGTTTGTTTTGCCCTTGAACAAAATTGTGTTTTCCGTGTTATTGACTTTTACATTGCTGCATACATCAAGTTTACTACAAGCAGAGCTGGCAAACAAATACACACAAAGAAAAAACTGAGAAGTTCAAACAGGTGGGATCGTGATCATTCAACATGATCCAGTTATTAAACCCGTGAAGAGAGATTTAAGGATTTTCTAGAGCAACCTCAGGCAGGACTGCAGGTTTAGAGAGAAAATGGAGGTGAAATTAAAATGAAGTAAAGTTATGACGGAGATAACGGGGGTAGAAATGTTTTCACATCTTCGCAGTGGGTTGTAAAATGACTGTAGAGATTTATGGCCAAGTCTGTGGTCCGTCAGCGCCACGGTATCAGAGGTGTTGGTGGAGGTGGCGGTGCACAGGATGGAGGTCTCGCAGCAGCCACTTAAAGGATTGGTTTTCTCCCTGACAAACTGCTGCATTGCAGCTCCAACCAATTTGTCAACCCGAGTGTACATGGCTGCCGGCACAACTTTTAGCACATTATTCCTTCGCCCAGTGCTTTAGTGCATTAGGTAATATTAGCAAAAAAAATGAGAAGTGAGTGCGTATTTATTTATGTCGGGGCTGGAGGATGCTTTCAAGAGTTGCGTTTGTCATCCGGAGGAGGAGGTAAAAAATGTTGAGAGTGCCTGTGTGCATCGACTGAAAGATCAATTCATTTGTACGTATTAAATCTGACTCCAACTGTTTTATGAACAGTGGCGTCGGTTCCCTGAAGGCAGCGCCTCTAACTTAGCTTATAGCTCCCTCGTTTCTTCCTATTATGTTCAATTAAACCTTCGTTTCAGAAAGGCAAGAGTAATTACAGGTGCAAATGTTTTATGGCCAGCTGCAGGGCACTGACTGACTCCAGTGCTGCATATCATTTTGATGACATGTAGCTGCTTGCGCTACTTAAAAACAGACTTTTAAATATACCGTGGACACCCTAGATACGAGCTTCACGAAATACGAGGATTCCATGTTACGACTTTGTGAATGTTTTCGCTTCTTTTGCTGCTTTGAACATGTAAAAAAATCTACTACTGACACTTTTGCTATTTTTAAAATGAATCCCGCAGTGACTCTGGTACAGGTAGTATTAAAGTATTTTTGAATACAGGAGTTAATCCCGCAAAGCAGTGAAGGCACTTTTGTCATTTTTTACTAACTTTTACTACAACTTGTCATTGTGACACAGCACACCACTGACCACAATGAAATTTGATCGCTAAAGCACCCAGCACCTCAGTGGTAACTTGGCAGCTGGTGGACTCGAACCTGAAACCTTCCGGACCCAAGTTCACTTCCTCTTAGCCACCACTGCCCCTTTATTTGTGCACATAGAAAAGTAAAACGAGACGGTGAAGAGATGCTGAATTTGAAAAATTTGGGTGCCGGTGTGAAAACAGCACACATGTATCGCACATTATGTTAAAGTCAGAATACTACGGAATAATATACGTGTTAAACTAACGACTCTCAGTGGGAAGGAGTTGAACAGTCTGATGGCTCCAGGCAGGAATGAGTTCCTGTGGTGGTCTGCACTGCACCTCAGTGGAAAAAAGTCTTTGACTGGAGCTGCTGTGCGTGACCAGTACATCGGTAACGGACAAGAGTCACTGAGTACCACCGTCCTCGGCTGTGACAACATCCCCCTCTCTGACACCACAGTCAGGGTCCAACCCAACCCCCATGTCACTCGCCTCGTGGATTAGTCTGTCGGCATCTACCAGCCTGAGACTGCTGGCCCAGCATGCACTGGGAGATAAAACAGCACCGGCTAACGTCCTCATGAAAATGACAAATCTGTCAGTTTTTGCCGGTGCTTCCTGTTCTTGTGTATAAAATCCGACCTCAGTTTTGAAGAGCTGGTTTAAACCCCCTCAAAACGTCGTTTTTTGTTTTTTTTTTCTCTGCCATGACTGACAGTTTCGTCCCTGCTGTTTCTCACCGTACCTGTTTGTGAACCTTCGTAAGCTGGTCCAGGTTGTTTTCAAGAAAGGAAATCTTCTGTTTCTGGGTGAGGTATCCTCCAGAATCATCAGGCTCCAGCAGCGCACTCTGTCAACGAAAGCGGCGGAAACACTGCAGCATAAATATGAAGTCGTTTACGGACAAATAACGAGCAAACATTCCAGAACAAATCTCAGCCATAACTCAGTATGATGGTTCTTTATGCCAGCAGTGTACTCTGAGATGAAGTTTAAACACAAATACTACAGATGGCAGGACTACTTCTACTTCTATACAGTAAACAACACAAAGGAACTTTTATGCTTAGATTCAGATTCTGCATAGTTCTACTGTATACTCTGTTGTACTCTGACCACAGAGAATCCCAGGGCCATCAGTTTGGGAGACGTTAAATCCCAAGCCACACATGAACACATCTGGTCAAGATCATACTGTGTCACATGGTTCATGGTTTTATGGTCAAGGTTGGAGTAAAGCAAATCAAATCAGTCTATCAGAATTATATTTGGTATTACAGTAACAGTAACTAAAGGGACACTACATAGGATTTTGCAGCATCTCGTGGCAAAGCTGTGAATATTAGGTCAGTAAACACAGGAAATAGATTTCTGCCAGGGTTCTGTGGGTTGGAAACACTTGTACGATATATATAAATTGTTAATTATGGGATCATGAAATACAGGCGGTCCTCGGTTTACAGCGTCCTCGAGTTTCGGCGTTTCATGGTAACGTCGCCATCTCACATGAATTGCCATACATGGAATTGTGCTTCGTTCACTTTTTCGTTTGCATTGTTTTCTTTGGAACTTTTTGCCCTTAATTATGACTAGATTATGATGTTAGCGCTGTTAGCGTAATGTGTACGAAAAGTGTTGCGCAGCAGAAAGGGAATTCCGACATAAATCGAGGATCCCCCGCCCCTGTTTACAAGTCATACCAACATGAGTGTTCAACTCATAAATGTTAGTAAATCAATTTTATTTAGGGATGTTAAATATTAACTTTTTGTCGATCCAACATTATCCAATCAATTTACCAGGTGCAAAAAATGTGGATTTGAACCTGAAACCTACTGGATGGCAGACAGGAATCGTACGTGCTATAAACACTGTGGTAGACGGTATTACTAAGGGACATTTACGATCACCTGTGTGAGTTGCCAAGTTTGTGTCTGATCCACAGCCTCACCATAGACAAGTATAAATTTTAACTACTGCAGGATGTGATTGAGGAGAAGTATTGGGAAAACATTACCTCTGATTAAAAGCTGTCAATTTAGTGGACTGAGAAAAATGAAGAGAAAAATTATAGATGCAGCGGGGATTTTTGCACTGCGTTGTACATCATACAGTGTATCAGGAGAACGAGGTAGTGCGACTCTAATCTTATCCTAACATACCGTAAATTTCCGGACTATTGAGCGCACCTGAATATAAGCCGCACCCACTAAATTAAAAAATGTACATATATAGGCCGCACTTCTCTATAAGCCGCAGGTGTCCACGTTGTACATTTATATAAATGCTTTTTTTCCGAACAGTGCCTCTTATATAAATGCTTTATTTCCGAACAGTGCCTGTAACACGGCTGGTTACACGTTAGCTCTTTCCTGCGTCGGCGCCACGATCGTAGTTGAAATGCACAGGGGAGATTTGATAATCTGCTCCAGGACTGAAGCTTTCTGACTGAACATTAGCTCCGAGGCTAACTCCCTTTACTTTGTGCTTGTCCGCAGCAGAGGTAAACAGAAACAGTGAAGTTGGAGTCTTTATTATCATCCACACCGACCACAACAGAACATAAACAGAGTTTTAACAGCTCCTGTATAACCAACTGATGCCTCAACATGACAGGGCGACAACTGCTGTCAACTTTCGCTAACGTTCTCTGTCGCTTGTGCTCACATATACTCACACAGCCATTCACAGACAGACATACGCTACTAGTATAACACACAGTAGTCGACCAGAAAAGTCATTCATTGATGGCTAGCGGTATGAACTTTGCTAGCACGTAAAAATCCATAAATTAGCCGCATCATCGTTTAAGCTGCAGGGTTTAAAGCATGTGAAAAACAGTGGCTTGTAGTCCGGAAATTGCAGTGCTCTTAAATTGCAGTATGTTCTTATCTTAATTTATCTTCACTCATCCTAAAAAAAAGTGGCTTGTAGTCCGGAAATTGCAGTATGTTCTTATCTCATCTTATCTTAATTTATCTTCACTCATCCCATCTCGACTCAACTCGACAGGAAATGGCACGACATGACAGACTCGACTCATCTTGTTGTATATATATATTTTACCTGGTTTCATCCTGACTTGTCTTATCTTGCCTTGTTTCGCCTCATCCTTTCTTAATAATACATTATCACAACAGAAATATCATCCGCTTCACTGTGCCAAGTTTTCCACAAAACAAATGCTCCTAAAATACTTCATTTTTGCCAGAGCCAGAACTAGGAAGGTACATGTTTGGGCATGAAGTGGACAGAGCATAGATCATGTTGACCACGTTCACTACCCCTTTTCCGCCATTTGTATTCATGGACCACGAAGAGCAGCAGGTGGCCGTGCACCAATAGTTGTCAATCACATGTCCTGGACATAAGTTTGAATCTGCCCTTGCACTTGTTCTGGCTACAGACCTGTTCTCATGATAATTTAATGGAGAATATCTTATTGTCTGCACTTACTTTTCGGACTCGAAAGGTGAGGTCCTGAACGAAAAGTTTGCGCAGGTTGTGCAAGGTGCTGAGTTCCCGTCCCTGCGTGTAAAGTCAGAGTAAATGACCCAGTAAAAGCAGTAAGAAAGTACTTAGAGGATCAGTGGTCCCGCGGGAGCCCAGCGAATAATGACTCACAACAGTCTCCTCCAGTCCTTTGAGGTCCTGCTTTGACTGTTCATGTCGCTCGTGGAGAAATCTGAAGATGGATAGAGAGAGAGAGAGAGAGAGAGACAATCAGAGTGATAGAGAATCAGGCATGAATTCTCCTCAGCCTAATAATGAATTATTCATGAACAAAGAACAAACACATCATTGGCCCCATTCAATGGTTAATACTCAGCTTCCATGTGATGCAATACGCCGAAAAAAGGTCAGCGCAGCTGCTAGCATGTTTCCGTAAAGGAAACATGTATGGCTTAAGGTAAAGGTAAAAGAAAAGGGTTGGCCTCCAGTTATATTTAGTCACAGTCTGTAGTCGTGCATGAGAGAGGCGCGCTATAAATAGATCGGGAGTGAGAGGAAAATAAATGGATGAGAGGTAGGCACCAGACAAAGAGGGATGGAAAACGGGGATTGAAAGAAACAGCTGGCCCCCAGGCCATAGTGCGAGCAAGTGTTTGAGAGTCGGCCAGGACAGTTAAAGCAGACTCACGTCAGTTCCTCCAGCTGGTGGCTCTTGTGATGCTCCTGGCACCTGAGACGCTCGTAGTCGTCGTGCAGTTGCTCCAGTTCTAGCTGCTGCTGCTGGTTGCAGCTGAAATAGTGAGAACACAGTTATGAGAAAATGTAACCCAAAAACTATGAGTAACAAAAAAATCATGTATTATATAACGCACGGGAAGTACTTTGTTATATCAGTGGAGACGATGTCGGTCTTTATTTGTCATATTTTTGGGAGACATTTCTAAATGAATATGTTACCCAAAAAAAAAAAGACCCAGTAGGTGGCAGTAATTTACCTCAAAGGATGCAGAGCTGTTACAGGTTATACGAGGTAGAAATGATGCTGAATTTCTCCAATCATTTTTAACAGTTATGTTCCAACATTGTTGAAGGTGTGAATGATGGTGAATTTCTCCAATCATTTTTAACACTTTGGGAAATAAAGTTATGTTCCAACATTGTTGAAGGTGTACGGCTCCACAAAAGAGCAGCGGCTCTTTGATGCAGTACTATAGGGTTTTCATTGGAACAATTAGTTGATAGAAACCTAAATGTCATACTTGAAAAACGTTTTTGACAAAGGTAGACATGGGATTAAATAAAATGCCAATGTGGTAGCAGCCATTCAGTTTCGTCCACTTATCCGTTACCGGGTCATGGGGGCAGCAGTCTCCATGACCGCCACTCAAATCACACTGCACCGTACCAACCCCCCTGAACCTTCCTGTGGGTGGGGATCCTGAACCTTCCTGTGGGTGGGGATTCAGTCTTGTCCAGGAGGTGAACCCTGGGGTTCCACACCAATGCCTCTGGGCCAAAGCACCATGTGGTAGCAGCCATTTTATTTTAATATTGGTTTAAATAAAGGATTCCTTGATCATATTCTAAGGGTCCAATATTGGTCACAATTTCAGGATCGAACATTGAAAAACCAACCACAGCCAGGCCGATCCAATACCTAAGGCCGAATTCCCAACTAATTCTGTTAATGACATGCAGTGAATAGGGTCACTATCACTTCAGCAAAAGAAAGAAAAGAAGATATCGAATTGTTTTGGTAAATATACCAGGGTCCGGTATCGGTATTGGAGGTGAAAAAGTACTCAAGCCGTCACTGCTTAAAATAAGTTTAGACATTCTCTGCAATATTCAAATATCTTCATCCATCCATCTATCTATCCATTCATTCATTCATCCATCCATCCATGCCGTCATCCATCCAGAATCCCTACAAGCAGAGCAGCCCCTCGTGTCTTTTCACACAGACTCCCAGCAGATGTTCTTTGAGTGTTATCAAAACCTCCCAGACCAGCAGGGAAATATATTTCAGGGTTTCAAGAGAACTCCGTCCGACAATCTCCACCAGACTTCATGAAAGCAGAAGTGAGTTTTCTCATTTGAATTTCTGATGTGGTTCAGACATTTGCCTCTGGGAAAAGTGCGCAATATAAAAGTTGTTCTCCTATATTTCCTTTAACGCTCCGCACACATACACCTACATCTTTGTACCAATTTGTCATCTCTTTTCCAAGACCAAATATATGAGAGAGTGGAGAATAACAATCATAAGGCACTGACTCTGTCAACTCGTCGATGTACTTCTGCTTCTCCGAGATCTTGTCTCGCAGGTGGCTGAGCTGTTTGCCGTGCGTTTCACGGTGCGACTCCATCTGCTGCTCCAGAGCTCTCTGAGGTACGAGGAAAAGGAGTGGGCGAGAGAGACACAAAACGGCACATATGGGTCTGAGGAAGGTGAGACAGTATCCATATGTCGGAGCGAGAGGGAAATAAAAAGACGCGTGGACACGCGAGGGCATTTAGTGCATGTGAATGTGGTGAGAAATAAATAATTGAAAAAAGAAGGGAACCACGTGCACAGGCAGAAGATTCAAAAAATAGATCCCGATAATGAAATACGACACAAACACATGCACAGATGGGTTTGTTTGCTTCAGGGCTTTGCGTCACACACACTGTACTTATGTTGATCCTGTTGGGATAATGACTAATCTACAAGAACTATGAGGTGTTCATGATGTCGCAAAAAGGGGAAAAAAAAAAAATCTCTGAAACTTTGAATCCCTGAAGCAAGGTACAAACATTTACGAATCAGTAACACGTAATTGATTGTGAAAAACAACGCCTAATTCGAGAAGTGTGAAGAAGTAAGAAGTGAAGAATATTATTAAAAGGTGCAGTTAATGTTTGAAAGATACCGCAGGGACTCATTGATCCTGCCCGGTAACAATAATAATAAACTTTAAGAGACATTTTCCCCGGGTCCTTTATAGAGAGTAAAGGCAAAAATAGAGTCTGTCGTTTTAGTTCAGGGCTTTGAGTGCCACAGTGCCCCCTGCTGAATGATCGTACACGCAATTAGCATGGATAAAAAGTGTAATAATCATTCATAAGGCGGAGTAAGATTCTCTTTTTTCATATTACTGCTATAATATAGTCTGTGCAATACACTCTTAGCATTGATAAAAAGTGTAGGTGGAGTAAGATTCTCTTATTTCATATTACTGCTATAATATAGTCTGTTATCAGTATATATTAGTAATACAAATGAATAAATCACACGCTTAAATCAATCTGGTGAGCCAGATGTCGTCAGCAACGGCCAAGAATTAGCCGACAGCCCGACCATTGTCAAGCACTTTCCTAAAGTTTGTTTCAGCTCATACGTGTCACTAAGACTAAACTGAAAAAGAAAAAGCTTCATCTTACGCATTCAATTCACATTTCTGGTGTAATTAACCTTTTCTGGCTTGAAGAGGAATTACTTGACCACTTCAACACCCACACAGCCGTGAATGAGACTAATAATTTATTCCTACGGATCGTTCAGACTTTGCAGGTCTTTAATTGGGACAATTAATCAGATTATAACAATAAAATGACTCTTGTCAAAAAGGATGACTGTCAATGGGAGGTGCAGTAATTGGCCTGCAGGCTCCTGGATACATCTTCAGAGTTATTATGCTATTATGTGAATGCAATTGATCAACACACCTGACAATTGGGCAAAAGATGAAGAGAAATACTATCTAAGGGAAACATTTGTATCTCAGTAGCTTACTGAAGTACTTCTAGAGAGACAAAGGGAGGAAGATGAGACTTGAAGTCACCGATCCCTCATACAAATAAAATGTCCTAACAGATGAAATGCTAATCATTTAAAAATAATTTGCTGTAATTAACCCTGTGAATCATGTAGATTTAATTAGATGTTCTCGTGTCCAAGGTAATTAAAAGAAAGAAAGAAAGAAAAGCACAGCTATTACTAATACAGTCATCCCTCTCCTATGGCGGTAGTTGCGTTCCAAGACCCAACACGAAGTAGAGACGCGATAGCTATTATATTACTTACGTATATATTTACCCTTTACGATCCTCCCCCACATTGTTATCAACCCTCCCTAGACTGTATTATTATGTATTTCTCACAGTGGAGTTGTAGAATGGTGACGAAGAGCGAAGTGAACGAGAGAGTGGCCGACAGATGAGGGGAGATGCTGAGAGATGCTACGATGCATGAGCCAATCAGTGTGAGGAACAGAAGAGCATGCTCAATTAGCCAACAGTGTTAGCCAATAGTATGCTACGAGTGTACGATCTCGTCTAGGTAAACAAAGCTAACAGCGATAGTTCGCAAATGCGCTTATCTGAATTTCAGACAAAACTTTCGTATGTATAATTATTATATAATGTATTTTAGTTTTTATTTTTTTGCTATGTTTCGCGTTATAGCGTAAACATCGCAAAATCGACTACAAAAAAATGCGATGTACTGAGGGAGCGAAAGGAAGTCCGCGATATAGAGACGGAACACTACTGATTTTCAAAATGTGCGCCATTGTATATTGAATTTTGTGTATTCAACAACTGTTTCACCCAACACTATACAATATATATTTTATCTGCACAAGTGTCTATAAAAAAAAATCTCCCACACACACCTGCAGCTGTCTGGGTTCTGCTAGTGCAACAAACACTATAAAATATATTTTATCTGCAAAAGTGTATATAAAAAAAAAAATCTCCCACACACCTGCAGCTGTCTGGGTTCTGCGGGCGGATTTGGGTCACACACCTTACCTTTAGATCACAGTAATCCTGCTCTGAAGTTTCACTCTTTTCCCGGGTCATTTGCGACATTCTCTCTGAAACACAGGAATACGACAGTGAGCGCACCCTTGACGGAAAGTATGATGTTAATAAAACGGTGACAGTGACCTGACTGTTTGCACAGCAGTCCTGGTGATGGATGTTCACACCAAGGTTCAGTGTCATCCTATGTCATGCCTTGAGTGTAACGGTAGCGACAGCTGCTGTATCATGCTGATCTGTTGTTTACTCACTGCTGCTCCCGTTGTCTGCTGATGAAATTACGAGCACGCGTTCTCTACCTTGGAGAGAGGCCGCGATGGTTACCGTGACCCGTGGCTCGGCGCGCTCGTCTCCGTCCGTAATGAGTCCAGCACTGCTTGGCTCAGGTCTTGGGGTTTGGATGAAATTTATTTAGCTGCTCTTGAATCTACTGCTCATCTAATAATACAGTTCAGTGAGACTGTGCAGAGAACGACGGTCGGCGCCCGCGGCCAGATCTGCCTTTGCCTTTGGCCCGAACTGTTTCAGTGTCCTGGGAGGAGACGCTGAACCTCGGCCTGAATTTCAAATAAATCATTAATTCATTCTCCCTGCTGCTGCTGCTGACAGGTGGGGAGCTCGAACTCTTCATCAGCCTTTTACGTATCAGTTCCTTTCTCTTGACAGAACAAAAAGGCATTTGGCACAGCTGAAAAACTTTCCTCTAAAGCCAATAAAAACGTTTTTAACTGAGTGGCAAATCCCTTTCGGTCCGTGTTATAACTCGATGGAGCAGAGGCACTCTGACAGACTCTCTCTCACTCTGTCTTTTTACAATTTTATTTTCTCTTGGCAGGATTTTAATTTGACTATGTCTGAACATTAACCTTAAATCTGACTTTGAAATCTGCCGTCAGCTTCCCCTACCAATTTGCAATGTCGATCGGTGTAAACACCGTCCTTCGCTGTGCACTGAAAAGGAAAAGTCACACGGCAGAGGTGCTCGTTATTCATCATTTAAATCCTTTCAGCACAGTGTCATCTCCAACATGTTTGGTTCAGCCTCAGTTAAACCTGTGTTATTCCACGTTTGAGCTGACGTTTCGCTCCACGCTCAAACCCTCGTTTTGTTAGATTTGTCCATCATTTTCACTTTACTCTCTCTTTTTTTTTTATTCACTTCTGTTTCCTGATCATCTCCAGTCTCTTGTTTGTCCTTCTTTTTTTTCCTCTTCTATCTTTTATGATTAATGCAGGGGGGGGGGGTTATTCCAAAAAAATTGACCATGTGTTTCCAAAACAGATCCTTGAACATTTGACTTCAACTAAAAGCCCGGTGGCTACACATGAATCTTGCAGCGAATTGAATTCTTTAACCATTTTTTTTTTCTCTAGTAGCACAATTTACCCTTTTTCTCTAGTGATGCTCATATTGTTTTTTTATTTTTAAGGAAAATATATCCACGGTGTCTCAATAATGAATTCTAATGATCTTTCACCTTCTAATAAAAGAAAATGCTGCCCTACCTTGAGCCTGGAGTTTGGCCAGCTCCATGCTCAGAGAGTCGTAGCTGTCTTCCAACTGTCTCTTCTTCAGCTCCAGGTTCTGCGTGTATTTTGTCAGAGAGCAGATTTTGGCCCCGTGCTGAAAGTCGAAGGACAAGAGGTCAAGTTGCTGATGAATAATAATAATAATTAAAAAAAAACCCTCTACCCACAAGAACAGTAAACACTGAGGAAACGTGTTCTTTTATTCATTGTATAACTGGCTGGTTTAATTATTTAGGATTTTATTTCTAACAGTATCTATCTAACAGCAAGAGTCAACCATTTTTATTTGGCATTTAAGACAGTTCATAATCACAAGATCCAAAATTTTATGATCCCTAAACCAGGACCCCCAGAGGGCTGCGAACCCTTTGTTGATACCGGTGCCTTAAAAGGCAGCTAAACGGAGACTTTTTCTGCACAGAACTCCTTATTTACCTTTGTGTAAAGAATCGTGCCACCGCGGTGACACATTTTCCTACCTGTGAAATGAGGAGGTGACACGAGGACAGCTCCCTCCCCGTCTCTTCCATCTTGCGATGACACTCCATCTGCAGGTTCTCCAGGTGGCGGCAGCGCTTCACCATGGACTTCACCTCTGACTTGATCTTACTGACGTAGAGGCGAGCCACTGTGAATTCCTCCTCAATCGCACCAGTGATCTCCCTGGGCTGCAGATGAATGAGGCGGTGAAGGAGGACACTTCATTTTTTATTTTTTTTTTTTTTATCGTTTATTTTTGGTTCAGATTCAATAGGGTTGAATTAAAGACAGCCGGGACATTGGAGAGGCAGAAATGATGGGGATTTTAAAAGTATCTACAATAATTTAGTGTACATAGAATCATTTAGCAGATTCAGAAATGAACGTGCACATTCAAATCAATCTAAATATTTCAGATGGTCTTGGAAATGCTCATTCATCACTTTAAGTGTTTTTTTTTCCCATACAGAACCAATATACAGAGGTGATGGAATGTCAAGTTTATAATGCTTTCCTGGGGCAATGCATCAAATCGGCTTAGAGTACTGTTTATAATGTTTAGAAATAGATGAATTAATTTTACTGTACCGAGGCCTATTGTGACAGAATGACCAACTAGGGTCATTTAGCATCACAGCTAAAATGTCACATTTATGAGTTATGGCTTAACTATCCAAAACCAAAATCCAAATTTTAGCTCCTACATAGATCAGTGTCCGAGAGGAAACGGGGAAATATCGGGTATAAAATTACGATTTATATTCACTAGGCCTGCGGCCATATATAAAGAAAACTTATTATTTTGCATATATATGCATATATATATATATATATATATATATATCAAAATTAAATTATCATCGTCTAAAAATTATCTGCCCCTCCACTGCAGTACCTCAGTGAACCCCTTGAGGTTCCAAACACATCATGTTGAAACCTGTGCCTTAAAGAACACCAAGCATCACAGCTACAGCTGAACACATCCACAACCTGACAGTCTTACTGCAGTTGTAAGTGGTGTGATTTGTTGTTGAAGTAAAACATAAAACATAGAAAAAAGTTATGAAAAAAAAGTGACGCTCATTTTCTCTGAATACAGACAGCCAGTGTCTTAACAATGACTTCAACAGATTTATTTGTTGTTATTGCTGTTCCCGTGAGAGACGCTGTGCTCAGTTTGTCTGTGTGGGCAGGACTGGAGAAATCAAGGCTGAGGGAAGGTCATCAGAACTATAACCAGCCCAGGCTGGGAGTTATATTCCCAAGTAAACACATTTATATGGTACACATAGCAGGGAGTTGCGCCTTGAGTTATGACTATGATCTCAAGTTGACGTCTTTACTTTGTTTTGCCTTGAACACATCCTTCTTTGATTTTTTTTTTTTTTGTACCCTAGCCGTGTTTTTGGTAAGCGACGGAGGTATCTGAACTCGTCTTTGGTAAGCGACGGAGGTATCTGAAACATTACAGTGGCCTCTGCTGCACTCACCAGCTTGATCTCCTTGTTGCCAACAATGGCGCTGAACTCACTCAGATCCCTCATGAGCCCGTTTAGAATCTCGGCGATGCGTTTCCTCTGGTGGCCGCTCACTTCCTGGATACGAGACAGCTCTGCCTCCAGTGCCATCAGCTGACTCTGTGGTATATAAAAGAGTGGGGGGAGAGGGAGATGATGAACAACAGAGGTTATATGACAAGAAGGAGAACAAATGAGGGAGAGAGAGAGAGAGAGAGAGAGACTGGAAAGGCCTTGAAGGGGGAATAATGAAGATAATATGGAAATTGTGGGGGAAGACAAGAGCGGAGGAAGCGCAGGAGTCCTTAACGTGTGAGAGCACACAAGGCTGCCGGGCACATTTTAACCCTGGATCACGTCCTCATCCAAGAAATCCAGACAGCAAACTGTAATAGCTGCTGAATTAAAAATCAATAAACTACTGAGATCGGGGCTTGATGGAGTTGGGGACGGATGAGAGGGTCGGAGTGACTGATGGGAGTCGACGTTATCTTTCTCCTTTTCTTATAACAGGTAGCTGCTAAACAACGCAGTCGCCCGACCGGATGACTTGAACACAATGTAACAAATTGGATTTATGGGCTCTGATACAGTTCCCTCTAGTCCAGAACACATTGCGCATCACTGCGAATTTGTGCTTCTATTTTTCTTCCTAATTACCAGCTGCAACAAAATACCGGGACAGAGAAAAGCCGTTGTTGTCATTGGTAACGGTGGTGAGTTCTCCTTTATGGTAAATCAGCAAACAAAGTCCTCTACTGATACTAGCTAACTACAGTTAGCTTAGGGATGTCTGATGCTGGCTATATACTGATATTGTCCAAACTCTTCGTTTCCGATTCCGATATCAACCGATACCGATATATAGAGCCGTTTGGGTTAAATCAGGTTTAACGTTATCAGGTTTTCATTTCCGGAAAAATATCGGCCGATAACATCGGTTAGTACCTTCCAGTGGACGCACCACCGACAGGAAGGTTCATGGGGGGGTTGGTACGGTGCAGTGTGATTTGTGTGGCGGTCATGGAGACTGCTGCCCCCGTGACCTGGTAACGGATATTTGGATGAAAATGGATGGATGGATGGAACATCGATTGGCCAATATTATCCAACATCCCACTCAAATTTTGAAAATATATTTCTGGGAAAATATATTATACTGAAGTCTTTTTGGTTTTGAAAACTCTGGCTGTATTTAGTTGGCGGAGAAAAAAAAAATCAAAAAGAAGTTAATATTAAGCCGTTGCACAAACAAATTAGTTCTGTCAATCAAGTAAATGGTAACAACTCCAGTAACTGGGACATTCATAAGAACTGTTACAATGAATGTTGAAGTGACTCACTGATTGACAGGCAGAATTGTTTGACTTACAATCAGTGTAATACACATGTATTTTTTTTGCCACCTTCCTGTCCCATAAGTCCGTTACACCCTTCTTGTTTCACTGTTCTTTAATTGCTCCTCGTCTTCCACTCCACCTGTCTAATTGCTCCGGTGTCCTTGTGCAGCATTATGTGCGTATTCATAAAAAACATTTTTTTAATAACTTTAAATAACGCAGTCCATAACCACATTATCGGCGTGTGTTCACAACCCTGACCTTCGTCTTTGTTTGTTACGTGTGTTCACAAATAGCTACAACCCTGACCTTCGTCTTTGTTTGTTGTGGCCATGAACACGGAGCGTGTAACTTTTCGACAGGAAATACAGCTGGACAGGTTTTACTCCAGTTGACAACAAACAGCGGAGGGTATTTTTTTTATTTTTTTTTTTTATCGTTACGCTAACTGGATCACCACAGTCTAATGCATTCTAAAGGGTTCATTTTAGATTACAGCCCCATGCACCATTAGGATCAATTGAAGGCAACATTAACAACCATTTTCCAGGTCACGTCCTGTGTCGCAACATTACCGTAACTTAAATGGTGATAAATATGAACTGAGGGACCGATTCATTTGTGAGCAGGTTTAAAGGGATGATGAGAACCGTCAAGATAAATGTTTCAGTATGTGGCAGGTTGATAATGTTTCGTCATGCTCGTTGGTCAAATGATATATGGCGGTGTGAGTAGAACAATAGGACAGGGCTCGGGAGTTCGGTGGGAGGGAGGGGTCACCAATGAATGGCAGTCACTGTAAATAATGGTGTAGCCTCCGCCAAGAGACCAACGTAAGGATGGAGATAGCGCATCTACTCGTTTCCTGCCACTATTTTCTAGGTCACTCCTGCACCGTTATAGCTGCAGATATGGAAACATTTTTGGTGCTCATTATGGGATATACTCTCTGCAGAGTCAGGGAGGGGGAGATAAAGCCCAGGGGGATTGAGACTCTGCATAGTATTGAGCACCTCCAGGCTGCAGTCAGATTTCCAGAGGGCATCCCTGAGAAGATGATCTGTCGGAGGAGCAGTGCCACGTTGCATTTTTCTTTTTTTTCTTGTATGATTGAGGATAATGAAATCTCAGCCTTATAGAACTCTGATTTGTCTCACTGTGAGCTCTTTTCATCAATATCTCTACAGAGATAGAAAGAAGAGGAGGGGGGAGACCGCACCACGGCTAATATCGAAGAGGATTTAAGGAGGTGGATAGTGGTCCGGCAGGTCCACTGGACCGCAGCAACTTTATTAAAACCTGACCAGCTCGGAGGGGACTGTCTTTTAGCTGCTTATCTATTTGAGTTGCTACTATTTTTAAAGTACTTTCATTCCTAAGGAAAATGTGAAAATGAACTCACAGTTTCAAGTAGTTCCCAAACTATGACTTTATCAACTTCGCTGAACAATATTTTAGACTATGACACAGCTTTTTATCAACTTCGCTGAACAATATTTTATTCACTAACTGCCATTCTAATAATAACAAAAATACAAATTAGCACAACTCCTCCAAGACTGGGCCAATCAAAGACAAAATCTATTTTATCTATTGAATAGCAAACATGCAGTTTTGTTTTTTTTATGGATCTTTTTGAACGGGGGTTGAAGCTGTCCACCTCAAACTCTTAGTTCCATTTTCAATATTCTGTTTTTTGGTCGGCAATAACCAGCCCAGAGGCTGCGCCCCCCACTTTGAGAACCACAACTCTTGAAAAATGGTAATTTCCATTTACGTCTCGAGGGCCTCATTAAGCCGCTGTTAAAAAAAAAAGCTTGGAGGATGATTATCAAATATTTAAACGTATTAATTAATGCTTCTTTTTGATGCTGCTCTTAAATATTCACTGAACATTGCTTTAGCTTTTATCTTAGAGGGAATTTGCATGGTCAGAGAAAAGCTCCTGCTGTTGAGAATGTAATAATGATGATTTTACGGGCAATGATTAGAGGTTGGAAAAAAAAATAGGAATGTGTTATTAACAAGAAAGTGTCTTTTACTTTTTTTGGATAAACCTTAGCAACATTTAGTAAAAAACATTCAGTCTTTAGCAACATTGATATTTGTAATATACTTCTTAAATCTTGAAATTTAGCTTTAACTCATCAGGGTCTTTTTTTTTTTTCCTCTTTTATTTGTTCCTGTAAACACAGCCCACGTCTGTTCTTGTTCGTCTCACCCTGATGCGTTTGTGTCTTTTTTGTCAGCGGGTTTTGCTGATGCTTTGTTCTCTGGAGGTTCCCGTCCACGCTGCTGCACTCGGTGGCGGACTTCTTCTTTGTGTGCTTTGGATTACCTGAGCAGTTTCCTCAGAGCCAGCCTTGAGCCCATGACTCTACTCCTGTCCTAGATTTTAACTTCATTTGTACACAGATCTGTGTGTGTGGCAAACTTACCACCATCTCCTAACAAAGAGCTCTGTCATTAAAAAAAAAGATTTGACAAAGCAGCTCAATATTAATTTTCACAGGCTTTGATGCTAATCTATGGCGAATTTAAATACAGATTAATCTTTGACTGCACTGAGCTGCGCAGAGAAACTACAGAGTAAAAAAGGATAGTCGGTGTTTTTGTGTAACAAAGGTTCAACACAGCAGCATCTATCTATCTATCTATCTATCTAGCTAACTAACAGTGGTGGGTAGTAACGAGGTACATTTACTCCATTACATTTACTTGAGTAAGTTTTTCCAAAATAAAATACTTCTAAGAGTAGTTTTAAATCTCTATACTTTTTACTTTTACTTGAGTAGGTTTATGAAGAAGTAACTACTCTTACTCCACTACATTAGGCTACACTGAGCTTGTTATTTTTATCAGAGACACTGGATAAACCTGGATAAAAAAAAAGGGCGACTTGGCTTTCAAAAGGTGAGAGGCTTGTTGTGTGCCGTTATGTACTGTTCGCAAACAAGAACAAGAGGATAACTTAATGCGATCAAAACAGAGTCTCAACGGTCTACTTCTCTTAGAATGGGTACAAAGTACCTGTGCCTAGACCAAGCATTTTGGAACGGCATGATTAAAAAAAGTTTATCGAATTTAATATGAATATAAAAGTGATTATAAAGGGTAGTAATTAATTTTGGAGATCCATTAAAAAGATATTGCTTTGTTCTTGTGTGTGTTCATCTGGAAGTTGATGATTCTCACCAGCCTATGGATATCTAATATGGTGTTTGTGTTGCGACATGTGACTTCACTCTCAGTTCCACACTAGTACTTCTAATGTAAAGCATCAGTTGTGGATGTTCCTGCCGTCTCTCCTACACCCACTACAGCATATGCCACAGCAGCAAAAACAATAACAAAATGATTTCCCATTCATTTGATATGTATTCTCTCTTCCTCTTCTGTGTATAGACCAGGACTAGGGTGTAAAACATATTACCATTTTCTTCGTGAGCTCTTCTGCCAGGAGCTTGTTCTGCATGCTCTTCTCATCCAACTCCAGGCTTTTCTGGTCATAGTTGACAGCCAGCTCCTCCAGGGCCTGCAGGACCTCCTTCACCTCCGTCTTAGCAGATTCATTTTCTGTCTGCAGCCTGCCCAGCTCTGATTGCACTCTCTTGCTGTCACCCCTGGATGATGCAAGAAGCTGTAGCACGATATTAGAAAAACAAACAAAAAAAAAAAAAAATCACAGATGTTATTATTACATCATAACAGAATCACTTCCATTCCTATGGTGTGACATAACTTGATTTATGGAGTAAGTCTCACATACTGTACAATAGTACCTTTGTCAGTCAGCTACGCTAACACAGTAGTAAGATCATAACCTATGACGCGTGTCAAACGTAAGGCTCAGGGGCCAAATACGCCCCGCCAAGTAATTTTCTGTGTTCCATGTGAGTTTCTTAAGCTAATAAATTTAATTATTTTTTTATTACACAGAGGTATGAATAATATTTGTAACTCTAATAAATAATAAACAATTGCAGAAATATTTAGTAATATGTTATGGAGTAGTTACACCTAAACAGTCTACCATTTACAACCGACCCTACAAGGGGAACTGTACTGCTGATGTGGCCCCCTGCTGAAAATGAGTTTGGAATGTAGCCTCAAGGATATAAAACTTGAATGTGAATACAAGAATGTGACTTATGGTTTGGAACCATAATGAAGGACAAAAAAATTCCAAATAAAACAACACAAATGAAAGAAAGTGAATGTAGCACAATCCAATGTATGGTATATGTTAAAAATAAAATAAAAATTGAGTTTGACCCTTTTGTCCATTCCGCTCGCCAACTATTTCCTGTGCTAACCACTGCAGTTTGTGAATTTCAACACCGTACAATGGAACGAATGAACAAGACTTTCGTATTAATTTTATGCCCTATGTCGAGGACCTCGTAAACTGAGGACCCCCTGTATTCTTAGCTCAATACAAATCTACCCTGCGGTATCTGGCATGTTCTTGCCATCATGGTATTGGCTTGTACTTGTATCTGCACTGCTGCATCCCACTGTGACTGATATGACTTAATGGTCGTCATTAAATTTTGATGTCGCCCCACGCCGGGGTGCATGTGTGTTTGCACTGTGTCGTGCAGCTTCTGTTGAAGATGTAAATTCAGGTCAGAGCACATTAACTGAGTCTGGAAAATGAGCACTTGTTCCACCGAAAAACACACCTTTATGAAATGTGTGGAATCATTTTCGCCTTAATTTCCCTTTGGCAGCAATAAAGTATCTCTCTATATATCTATGCTAACGCGACTGTGCACAAAAGAAGAGAGCTGGTTTCAGCTTGTGCGACAACGACAAGTAACCTCCTGCTGCTCATTCAGGACATACTGCATCTTGATGCTATTTACTCTAATAATTAGCTTTGATAACTACCATTGTGACTGCTGCATATATTTGTGCATGTGCGTCATACCGTGAGCCGTTTAACCAAACTGACGGACGGGTGTAAACCCAAGGTCTTTACCTCCTCCTGGCTGAGCATCTGCTCCTTCAGCTTCTCCACCATCTGGCTCTGGTAGTTGATCTCATCATCCTTTTATAGTAGAGAGAGAATAGTCTCAATGATACAGTTCATTCATAACGTTAAGAGTTTAAACTTGCTGGTACAGTGCAGATACTTCAGGCTTGTGTTTTTGTGTCGTTGCTCTTCCGCAGCAGGAACATTTCTATGATGTTGTCATTGTGAATTCATTATAATGTATAATATAAATGGGGCTGGTGCATATCATTAACCCTCCTATCAGCACAGCACGTTCAAATGTCCCAGTGTGGCACCTATACGTTACCTTATCGTCCAGCTGTTTGTACAGCTTGCGGATCTCCTCCTCGTACTTCTGCCGCTCCTCCTCAGAAATGTGAACCACGATGGAGGAGGCGATGGAGCAGGAGCTGCAGGGGCTGCAGATGTCAAGAATCGGTTCCTCGTGTTCCGAAGGCACCAGGGGAACCTCCTCTGAATCTTCTCTCAGCTGCTCCAACAGATCTACATTTTGGCCTGGGGATAGAAGAGGAAACAATTGAAAGATGAAGTTTTTATTTTTGTTATGTTGTTATTTTTCACTCCTAAAACTGTTTTTGGATCCCCAAAAAAAAGATGAAATATGCCGAACCTCATACAGTGGAACCTAGGTTTTCAAACTTAACTTGGGAACCAAAAATAGTTACATCGAGGGCAACTGGATGAAGTTGACGTCTCACCTCTCATCCAAGAGGCTTCTTCAGTTCCCTTGGATGGAAACGTCTTCAAAAAAAAAAAACCCACTTTGTCCAGTTGCCCTCGATGTAACTGGGAACCTACCCAGATATTAACTTGGGAACTAAGTTTGCTCATTGGTGCTGTCACACAAGAGGAATTTGCTGCTACACCTTTTTGGTGTAGGTTCACCTGCCCTAGCTCTGCTTACTACCCATAATCTAATGGCCAAGTAGAGTGGGCCAATCAGGAGTTGGGGGCTGTCCTTTATATGTCGGCAGTCGCTACTCCTAGTTCCTTCCTCCCATGGGTAGATCAGGCCAACAACTCCCTCTCCTCATCCAGCAAGCGGATGTCACATTTTCTTGGTTCCTTGGGATCAACCTATTTCATTTCCTGAACAGGAGGTTGACCGTTTCTTCCGTTCAAGATCAGCAAGCGGATGTCACATTTTCTTGTTTCCTTGGGATCAACCTATTTCGTCCCCCCAGAAGAGCTGGAGGAAATGTCTGGGGAGAGGGAAGTCTGTGCGTCCCTGCTCAGACTGTTGCCCCCGTGACCCGCCTCCGGATAAGCGGTCGATGATGGATGGATGGATGGATGGAGGTTGACCGTTTCTTCCGTTCAAGACATTATTCGGAGATTCCGCACAGTCTGAAATGCGGCATGGGAAGCCACCAAGTGTACAAGAAACAGCGCGAAAGAGTCGGTCAACAGACACATGTCCCCCGCTCCCTCCTACCAACCCGAACAGAGGGTACGATTGTCCACTGAAGACATCCGCATACAGCCTGAAGTGGACACCATGCTGGAATGGACCATATGAGGTGGACAGAGTCATCAGTCCCACGGCAGTTCCCCCTAAAGACTCCACCCTACCTTCCACGTGTCACTACTGAAGCGGGTACCCTCCAGTCCATTGATGTACCGTGCTCCGTGGGTGTGTTGCTTCAGTAAAGGCTACATAAGATGTCTAGAATATAACGACTTGTTATACTACATTTCTGAATAATATTGATTTTCTATAGTCATAATGAAGTTATTAGGATGTGGATTTGTTCAGGCAGGTAGCGCTGAAGGGTTAGTTGTATGGCTCTATAATTGCTTGATTCAGGAGCAAACTGTGTTAAGCCACAATGATTTTCTCGGGTTACACAGAGCCCATGTGGGCCTGTCTAGCACAGCAGAGCGGTTTCTGATTCTAATACAATACCGCAAGGGTTTGAAAGTCAAGGTCAATCAGCAGCAGCTTCTGTGTTCGTTCTTCATTAGCGAGGAATTCTCTTGACTCCTTGAACTGCATACAATATTTTGAACAATCTCTTTGCATTCTTGTCTGAGAAACTGTCTGAGAATTTTGTCGGGTATTAAAATGAGTTTCCTCTACGAACACCCAACTATTCCCATTGACTTTTGCCTCCTTGCAAAGTGAAGAAGGCAGCAAAAGCAGGAAAAAAAAACCCCCGCACTGACAGCAAGTCTGATCGCCATCTCTCCACTGCATTACAACTTCATGCTCTTCCTCGAGAGGTTACCGTGGAAATGAAGCTCTAGAAAGAGTGAAAAGCAGGGAGAGACAGGAACCATGTCAAGACACAGGCAGTGTCAATGGAAAACAATTGTATTGGTAAAATGACTGTTGAAGAGTGTGTCAAAAATGATATACGGAGCGCCGCTGTAGTCACAGTGTTGTGCTATGAAATATTTATCATGTCACTTTCTGCTTTTTCAACAACCCTCAGGAAACATCAGCATATATTTTTCTCAACGCTGCCAGAACAGGGTCAAGGAAAAAATCCACCGGGGCCTCGTTTGTGTGCACAGCGTGTTTGAAAATGTGTCATTTTTCTGTATCTGTTTTTGATCCTATTCAAACAGAACAAACCAAGAAGCTTCTAGATGTTTCCAAAGACTCGTTTTGCGATTGCGTTTTGACCAACTTAATGTGCTGTAACCGGGAAGAAGGCGATCAATTTTTGGGAAATGGAGCGTTTTACCTTTAAAGACAAGGTCAAAGCAATCCATACACAAGACAATATACCCACTTGACACCTTTTACAGATTAGGTCGTCCCCTCCGTTTGAGGATGAGCTAATCATTAAAGGCAGCTGTCAGTTAAGATGTAACACAAGACGTTCCAGATTCCGCTGATCCCCAGAAGGCACTGAAGAGTGAGGTTTGGTGACGTTTACAGCATCGGGCAGCTGTGTCTTTGTCTTTGGGCCCACTTCTGATTAAGTACTTCAGTAATGCGGTAAAGGATAGAGGTTAAATTTATCTCGTGCAATGTGAAGGCCTGCGATGGGCAACAATACAGAGAGCAACAGGAGGTGAATGGGGGCAAGGGAGTTGTCAGAATGATCCATTAGGAAATTAAAGTACTAAATTGTGAAGGGAGGCTACGTGTGTGCACATACTGTACAAAGGTGTGTATGTGTGTTTGCGTATATGTTAGCTTGTTGGAACTATAACGCTATAAACAATGACCTTGTCATTTATGTGAATGTATATGTGCATATGTGTGTACAATATAAGTGTGTTTGGGTTTGTGTGTATCTGTGTACACACACATACTGTATGTTAGCCTATTGGAGCCCTAAGGGTACAAGCAATGACCTTTTTCATGTATGTATATGTGCATGTACAGTATAAAATATATAATATAAACAATATAAACAATGTCATGTATGTGCATATAAACAGTATGCGTGTGTGTGTGTGTATGCCTCTGCGTGATGGTCAACATAAGGTATAACAGCGTGTATCATGCCTCTGCGTGAATGTCAACATAAGGTATAACAGCGTGTATCTGTGTTTGTGTTTATACGTGTATACATAAACATATGTTAGCTTCATTATATGAACAATGACCTTGTCATTTAAGGGCACGTCCAGTATGTTGACATGTACGCGTGTGTGTGAAGAAAATCATTAACTAAGAAGGATGTTGTAATAAACACACTCATTTGCCCTGATAGCTGCTCAATAAAGAGACGCTGCACCCATTTCTCAATTCAGGTCAACCACCGAGGGACGGATCATGAAGAGAAGGAAAGAAACACACATGCACACACACACACACAGCTGGTATTCAGACTGTGTCATGAACACAGTCTGAATGTCAGCTGAGGGCCATCACTGGAAGCAGTGACATTTGAATCGACCTCAGGCGTCCCCCAGGAGACGTAGATGTGTCGGTGCTCCGCAATCTCGTGTTCTTCAGCGTGCTTCGACTGCCGTGTTTCTTCTTCTGTAGTTTGAATCATCGTATACATACTTGATATTGTGCACGGCTTGAAAAAATCGAAATGAGATAAAACACAAAATTGAAGGTGTTTTGGCCTCGTGTACAGAAAGTCTGTTTGGCTTGTGTCCTAGCGAACGCTCCACTGGCAGGTGTTCAGATGATCTGGGGCGACGGAAAGGTGGGAAACAGGAGAAGGAGGCTAGGGGCCCATGATTAAGAGCCCTCCCAATAAAATTATAACACTGACATAAATTAATCTGATGCAAATGACATAAAATACTTTTTGCCAATATCCGATTTGCCAATACTGTAAGCGCCGGTTAAATCAGTGTTTCTTAAATATTGTCCATCATGCCACCCCTAGGGCAGTGTTTCCCAAACTTTTTTTCTGGGGACCCATATTTTAAAAGTCACAAACCTTTGCGAACCAAGTCAGTATATATTATGAAACTCCTGGGAAACATGATGTGAGGCGACCCAAAAAAAAATAAAAAAATCTTGCGACCCACCTGAGAGTCGCAACCCAGTCTTTGGGAAACAACGCCCTACGGGACTGAAGCCCACCCCCCTCCCGAATTGAAACACTAGTAAGGTCGTGGTTAAATTTATTTACAATCCCCTGATTATAAGAATAGATTATTAAAATAAGCTGCAATGCTGCCATCTAGTGATTTTCACGTTCATGTTTCACGTTCACGTTTTCCCCAAAACTATTTTTAGGGCGCGCATCATTTGGCGAAACCCAGGCACTGCATTATTGATTATCAGGAGAAAAACGATAACGATTCTTACAGAGTTTGGCGAAACCCAGGAACTGCGTTATTGATTATCGGGAGAAAAACGATAACGATTCTTACAGATATTACATAATTATGTATCGACCCAATAATATCGGACAGTCCAATATTATTACACATCCCTAAACAAAGCATGAAAAATGATTGCTGGCCTACTGTGGTGGCCGGCTGTGTCACCAGTGGAAATACTTTTCATGGAGCCAAAAATCCCCAGCTGTGCACTAAAATAAAATGAGATAAAATCTGAACTTGTGTGGACTGAAAGTAAAGCCTGCAGGCTGGCAGACAGATGAAACTGTGGGTCTACAAGTAAGTACTCCTGGTTATATAAAGGGAGGGAGAGACTGAAACAGACACAATGCAGTGGAGTGCAGTTATTCTCTGTAGGCTGACTTCTCTAAGATGTATTCCCTGGACTGGGATTCCAGCGTGTAGTCGCTGGCCTTCCTCCACATTTAAATCGTGACTCATATCTGATCTACTTCCGTGGCCTCGCTGTGCAAAACATTGCACTGGAAACACAAAAGAATTCAGGACTCATTATTAATTAGGATAACTGCGACATTGTGACACCGCATCAAATTTCATGGGCGATTAATTCCACAGTCCTGGAGATATTAAAATTCCCAATAACAAACTGAAACCTCGTGGTGGTGTTCAGAGGTTCAGCCTCGGAGGATCAGGAATGTTTGAGTCAGATTTGATGACAGCATTACCTCGAATCTGTTTTTACTGTCTTTATACTTCCACGTTAAATAAAAAATGATCAAATGCCTAGTGCGGTGTATTTTAACAGTCGACGCCGACAGTTAGTGTCGACCGCCGGTGCTACTCCTGTGCCGTTATTACCGTTCCTCCAGCAGCTCAGCTCCGCCTCCAGCCTCTGAACGGTCTCCTTCATCAGCCTGTTCTTCTCCTTCTCCTTCTCGTACTTCTTCTTCCACTGCTCTGCTGTGAGCTCCAGGTTCACTGACACCGTGTTCCTGATGGTCTTGGCACTAATTGGAGGAATGTGAAGAGAAACAGAGAGAAGAGAGGAGAGAGGAGAGAGAGGATAGGGCGGAGAAAAGAGGGGGCAGAAAGAAGAAACGTGTGAATAGTTAAAAAAAAGCGTTTGGAAATAGCAGCAAACATGGAGAAGGACTGTCAACATGGTGATTTCAGCCTCTGCTGCTCAATGAAAATGGGACTCATCCCATTAATTACTATGCAAATTGGGTTTCTACAAACAGTGTTTTATGGTGCATGAAAGAGAAAGAAAAAATATATATATATATATATACACTGTATATAAAAGAATGTACGAATGGTGCAGACAGACGGACTGTAATGCAGTGAAGGGAGTTTGTGCATGTGTGTAGCAGCTGCTGCAGTCAGTAATGGACCACCACATGCGTTTTCACTGGAGAAACACTATTTAAAAAATTCCTAATAAATGCAGGATAACCCTCACATCGAGATAGTGCTGATACCAAAAACCTCCAGTTTCCAAAAATTAAAATGCTGACCCCCCCTTTTTTTTTACAAGTTCTACTCTACACGCTCCAACGATGCAGTAAAACGTATCAAGCGTAACTAACTTAATTCCAGAAACATTAAATATCTAATTTAACACTAGGTGTTATCGCCATTTCAACTGTTTGCAAAGTGATTAAACCACTGTTATACGTTATAAAAAATATTATAGAGAATTACAGTAGTGTTTACTGACATTATAAATTACATTTTGTGAAAAAACAGAGTTTCTAGTCGCTGTTATCGGACTTCTCTCCTAATCATTGACTGACTGCAGGATGGTCATTCCAGATCAGTATACACTCCTGGTCTGACAAGCTATTTTTCTGTAATTTGTCCAGAATGAGGCCAGAAAAAAAATCTATGGGGTTGCTGTGAAAGGACTTTATATTGACGTCTCACCATGTGTCTTTAAATTCCAACATCCCCCTCATCATCAATAGTAGCTTCATACATATGCCGACCCTGCATGTCATGACTACAAATTCATGATTCAAACCGGCAGATGCTGGCTTTGCATTTTTTTATATACATATCCAGCTAAAGTCCCGGTGGTCTTCTGTTACGAATGCCTCCGAAACTAATGAGAAGTAGAACGAATCCAACTCCAGATGGGTGGTTCCGTAATGCCGTCCTCGACCTACGCCATTTTGTGGTCACAACATTTTGTATGGCTTAAAATGCGTTTGAATAAGTCCATGCTACAGAGATTCTTAACCTGATTAATTACACGTTATTACACAACAATGAACAATTTTTGTACCTTGTATAAATAATAAATTGCAAAAACATGTATTAATACGTTATAGACTAGCACTGTGTTAGCGTAGGTGAGCGGTACTTACCGTGCATACTCGCATATACCCGAATTTAAAACACCAAAAAATTAAAGATCAAATCGGGGGGTCGGCTTATATGCGCATAAAAACCTGGGACAGCATTTTCCATTGATCGCATCGTCAACGATAATAAACACCAATTCGAACATATGGTCAAAAATATCATTTATCTTATAAATAAATTCAATCTACACAACTTTTAACTGTACCACTGGTATACTGCACTAACTACCTCACCTCTACTTCGCGGATTTTCCCTTTTCACAGCGGGTTTTGGAACGCAACTATCGCGATAGGAGAGGGACCACTGTTGTGCAAACAATCACGTCTATTCTGACATTCGCAACAAACATTGGCGAAACCTTTGTGATTTTAACGCAAACAGTGTTAAGGGGTCGGCTTATACGTGAATTGACTAATATGCGAGCATGTACGAATTCATTATCTCTGAGTCTATCGCAGTTTTGAAATGAGAACTGTTGCTGGTGTGTAGATGGGGTTGGACTAGAATGTTCTCCAGCAGGGCCACATGTAGAGACAAACATCAACTTCCCACTCACAGCCATACCTAGAATTTCGAAAGTACTCTCAATCTAATTTGGAAGCTTTTAAAAACAAAAACAAACTGAGCGATCAGTGTCAACTGCGGTCAACAACTGCCCGTCTCCTGTCCATTAAAGCACTTTTAACCTGTCACATTACAGCCACTTGATGTATTACCCTGACTCTGTTATTAATAACGCCATTATTAACGGTATAAATGTCAGATTATTGATTATGATTTAAGCACTTTTAACCTGTCACATTACAGCCACTTGCAGTTAACAACAGTTACTGCAGCTGCCAATGGGAGATAAGAGTCCTCACGCTATGGTAAAAATTCAACTGTGCTACAGCCATACATTAATTATCTCAACTATTGCGCCCATTATTCCAAATTCGAGGCATTCATTGGGAGGGTAAAATAGCAGGAGATGCATTAAAAAGCCTTTTTTATGGTATGTTTTTTGGGTTGATAATGAGCAATCGGACTAGAAGCGACCCATTGCTGGTCTGAGAGATGCTGTTTGAGCAGACCCTGCCTGCATGCCTGCAATCCTAATGGCTACACGGGGTAAACACAGGGTAGATGGAAAGTTACACGGGGACAAATAGCTCGGGTGAAAAAAATCTGCAGCTCGTCAAAAAAAAACATGCTTACGATTTCTCCGTTTTTGACCATGCCTATCGTAAAGAAAGACATGGACAAAGAAAACGACATGCTACGTGTGAGTACGGTCAAACAATGAAATTTGATGTTTGTCATTTTTACATCAAATTCATTTGTGTCTGCGGTGCCTTTTCTGTCCACTTCCTCCTAAAGCCTTTCAGATTTGGAAATCTGCTCCTGCTTCCCTGTGGTACAATAACCTCAACACAACCGGTCAGCACTCAGCTCTCCAGGACCCATCACCCAAAACCCCCTCCCCTCTCTCTTTTATCCCACTCACCCTCATCTCTTCTGTTCCTCTCATGTGAACACACTCTACCTCAGCAAAATCACTCGCCTTATCTTTCGCTCTGTCTGGTTGACTTTGGTTCGATTCCATGTTTGCCCCTGTGGACTCGCACCCAATCAATCATTTTTCACAACGTTAATGGAATTGGGGGTTGGTTTTAACACTGAGCTGTCCGTGTTGAAGCAAGAACACATATGATCTGTTCTCTGAAGGTGCTCAAAATAACACTACAAGTGCAAAGAAATGCCGCTTCACGAGCGGTTACTAATGAATATTTAAATGTTCGATGGGTTCAAATATGTACAGCAATGATGGGAGGTCATATCTTTTATGGATTTTGTTGTTTCTACCTCTTCTTTCTCTCAGCCACTTTGAAAACACTGTGTGATGTCATGATGATTTTTCCTTCACCTGCTTCTTTAATGAGTAAATTTTGCACCGTCAGCAGGATGTTAGCTGAACGTTGACTTTTCCTGCTGCCTATGATGATTAAATTAATGGCTAAAATCTCAGACCCCACAACGTGTCGGGTCCAGAAACATAAACAGAGCCTAGCATATGTTCCCCGGCATAATGACTTTATAAATGTTTAATCGTGCAATTCCTTAAATGCAATTAAGTGACAAGCAATGAATCAGTAAAAATACAAACAAACGCTCCTCTAGTTGCTACAAAGAAAGTCAGTGAAGTGCAACAGAGAGCTGCAGCTGTTACCGTTGGCCGAACATCAGGGTGGACTTGGTCTCGACGTCGTTGTAGCTGGAGGGCGAGCAGCAGATGAACATGGTGGTGCGACAGTTTCCGCCCAGCGAGTCCTGCAGGATGCGAGTCATTTTGCTGTCACGATACGGCACGTGGGATTTCTTCAGAGATACGAAAGAAAGAACAGACGTGAAGAAAAGCAGACACCCTGACGTTAAACAGAATAAAGCGCCTTTTTTTTTTTTCTTTCATGCCTTTCATTTTTATTCTAAAGCAACGCGTCCAAAAGCATGAGCTGAGGAAGAAAACAACCTGGGCTTTGTGCGTCTGTCACATCATCCACAGATTCACCCCTGTTGACCTTTAGAAAGATTTCAAATGGACTGTTCTTGCTCAATGAATAAAGCATGAATGCCAGTGGATTTATGAAAGGTTTGTCGGGCATTTACGGGCTTTGAGAATTTCCAGTGAGTTTATGAGGAGAGCGCAAAGCCTTCAGAGTTAAATGAAAAGTAAAAGTGCTCTAATTATGGCGGAAGTGGAAAAAAGAGTCAGGTGGGTGAGTTTTCTGGGTTAGACTTTTTTTTTTTAAAAGTTTTTTGCAGCACTGAGTAAAGAAGCAGCTCACAGACAATTGTGAAAAGTTTTTCGACAGAACATTTTACCCTTTTCTGCACTGAAGTCCTCCACTGCTCTCTTTCACTTAATTTTTACTAGTTACGTGTCATTAAATACAGTAATACCTCGAGCGTCTCCACATACGAGTATTTCGAGATACGTGCAAGCCTTCAAGCTAATTTTTGCTTTGAGATACGAGTAACGCTAGGTGGCCGAGCACTCACTCGCTCACTTCACGTGTTCGTCGACCTCCGTACGCATCTACCGCGAGTCTTCTGAATTGTGTTTGCGTTATCTACGGGATTTTTCTCTCTATTTTGTGCACTATTCTTCATAAAAGAGAGTGAGTGGTAAGGATGGTGGTGAGAAGAAGAAACGCATGGTGACCATGGAAATAAAGCAGGAAATTGTCGATAAAGAAAGAATACAAACAAAAAAAAAAGCAAAAAAATAAATAAAAAAATATGTCGATAAAGAAAGAATACAAACCGGAAAAAAGCAAAAAAGTAAAAAAAAATTACGTAAGCTAGCTAAGTTAAGCTATAGGAAAGTAAAAAAGAATTACGTAAGCTAGCTAAGTTAAGCTAAGTTAATGTGATGTTTAAGTAAGTAATGTAGTGTACGTATAAGGTACGGTACGGAATCAAGTGTCTACGTACGAGCCGACTCTCTTCCCTCCCTCCCTCCTCCTCCATTAGCCGCTATTGTATTGTCTGTCTCGAAGGTAAGAGCGTGTTTGTCTCTGTAGCATTGAAAAACATGTTTTTCCCATTGTTATTAGCACCAATAAGGGAGTTTTTTAGAGTGCTGGAATTGATTAATTTGTTTTCTGTTATTTCATATGGGAAGAAAATATTTAAGATACGAGCGCCTGGAGTTAGGATTATGCTGGTATCTCAAGGTATTACTGTATTACAATATCCGCCATTTGTTTTACCATCGTGACGTATGCGCTAATGAAATACTAAGATATTAAGACGATAATAAGACCACAGAGATTTCTCCACTGTACCGTTCCCTCGGCCAAGGCTGAGATGACATTTCCCAGGGCTGACAAAGACTTGTTGATGTTCTTGGCCTCATCCAACACGGTTCCCTCGGCGCCCGTCTTACTGACCTGACACAGTGACACAACACAAAGACAGAAAATGGATTTGTCAGCATAAAACTGTCAACAAGAACCTTGTTCCTATTTCCCTAGAATTTCCACTTCTCAGTTCTCTGTTTTCGTTGCTGTAAATTCAACTGATTGCCCCCCCCAAAAAATGACAGAGCAATCTGGTGCTAATTATGGAGAAAATGCTGACGTTGTTGAGTTGGCAGGTAACAAATGAATCACAGGCTTCACCTCCTCTTCAGTATCTAGCAGCTGATTAATCAAACATGCAATCATTGCAGAAGGGCAACAAACCCCACTGAGCACATTCAGCTCGCAGAGAAGTCGGTATATTTTTGAATAAAATGCGAAAAAATAATCCAAAAATATCAGAGGAACTCAGACCACACCAACTGTCAGGTAAAGTCCGACAGAGTGTTGTTGCAGGCATCAAACTCTGTTCTATCTAAATATTGTGTTCAATTTACAAGAAGAGATGTCCGATAGTATAATTATGTAATATCTGTAAGAATTGTTATCGGTTTTACCTCCGATAATGAAAACCCGAAGTCGCAATGCCTGGATTTTGTCAAATATGCCAGAATCACTGGTAGGGTCCTGCAACGTTTACTGCACAGAATTGCTGGTAGGGTCCTGCAACGTTTACTGCAGTTTTAGGGGCAAACGGCGAGATATATCGGTATCGGTTGATATCAAAATAGGAAGTTAAGTCTTTGGATATTATCGATATCGATCAGATATTGGCAAAATCAAAGATAAAATAGATTGAAAAACATATGCATACACATCTATCGGCTGTTATATTTACAACAATACAAAGATTTCGCTCATATTCAGCGATGTTGATTACCGTAATCACGATTATTCACGACTAATCACGATTAATCATGGATGACCGTGATTAATCCGCAGCTGTCGTATGTTTAATGAAATACAAAATTTGAAACAGTTGAAAGCACGAAACTCAATAGATGTAACATGTAACAAATGCCTGTGAAATCTGGGTCAAATGAGCAAAACAACCTGTCGAACATACAGTTTGAGTTCACAGAGCGACTAATTTGGTTTATTCTACAAATGCTGCTTGTACATTTTTCCTCCACTTGAAAAATGTTGTATTGTCTGTTGTTAAAAAAAACGCATAACTGAGAATCCTTTTTGCTTGACATGTGACCCAAATAGGAAAATCATCACGGGAAAAAATGATTTACTGCAGGATAATGAGGAGCCTAATTACAGAAAACAAGCTGTTCAACCAAAGCGCTTTAGATCTCGGGTTGAATTCTGTATTAAAGTCTGAGAAGTATCTGAGGCAGAACCATTTTTTCCACCACCCCAGGGATGAGCAGGACAACCCAGAGGTGCAGCATCAGCATTTCCGAACCACAGCCCTCAGCCAGACTACAGAGTCGACTGCTATACTATAAGCACGCTCCATCTTGAATTCCGCATCAGTAATATGAACACGGGGAGCCGACAGCCATACTTGGCATGGTCTCCAATGTATTTCCTGTCTTCTCCCAGAGGTACGACCTTCGCCCTTGATATAAATTGTTTTTAGTGAGGACAGCTGACTCAGATTTCACCTGAAAGGCCTTGAAACAGTTGAACAATTTGTTGTTTGTGGTTTGACCTCAGTAGTGTGACCCTTTTGGGGCTGAAATCTCAGTTAGAAACGTATCTAAAGAAAAAATCTCTAAGTCTGCAGAACACAACTTTTTGGTCTGTGTGAGAAGTGTGAATGATATTACAGTGGAACCTTGGTTGTTAAATGGCTCCCTTTTCGAGCAATTCAGTTCATTCAGTTCATCAATCAAAAATTGAACCAAACATTTGCCCAGGTTGTCGTACCATAACTCGGTTGCCGAACAAGGAAAGAAAAATAGTGAGAACAACAATAGAAGTGAAGAAAGATTTTAGGAAAGCATGAGAACGGAGCTCGTGTTTCAGATCTGACTTTACGCTGTGGCTTAGCTAAGTCGTCGATTTGTACCATCATTAAGAACAAGGAAGCAACCAAAGAAGCTAAAGTTGACAAAGGAGTGACTGTGATCACCAAGCAAAGATCTCAGACATTAGAAGAAGTGGAAAAGTTGCTCTTGATCTGGATCAACCAAACGCAGTTGGCCGGCGACAAAGACGCTAATTTGTTCACGACTCCTCAGCATCAGTAAGGATAAATGGAATTTAGCTTTATTCTTTCTTCAGTTCTGTTTATCTTTTTGTTAGATGCCTTTACTTTTTATAGCTTTATTCTTTATTCAGTTCTGTTTATCTTTTTGTTAGATCTAATTATTTTCATTGGTTTCGTAAAGAATGGCTTAAGTTCGAAAACCGAGGTTCCACTGCGCTTACAGAAAGATAAGCAAACACGGACCGAATTTCTGCAACATAAAAACTGAGCCAAGAGAGCGCTTTGAATTGATTTTTCTTTTGATTCTATTTATTATTAATAAAAAAAAAAAACCCTGAGCAGCATAGAGAAACGTGGGCTGAACATCTTATCACTCTCTTTCAGCAGACTTTTTTTTTCACTTTTTTTTTTTACTGGCTTCCTACCTTCTCGCTACCAGCCAGGTCAACCAGGTACAGCTTGCCGATCAGCTTCTGTTCTGTCTCCACGTTTTCCTGCTTGATGTTTATCAGGAAGATGCTGTGACTGCGGGAACTGTGCTCATTCATGTCTGACCGGAGGAGAAGACAGGGAAGGAGAGTGGGAGTGAGGACAGGAGACAAGATGAGGAAAGATGTCCGATAGCAGAGGCAGATCTCTCTTTTTTAGCACATTTTCATCAGTGGACATTCCATGTTTTTCTTTCATCTCCTTCTTTAAGGTCTGTTTACCTCTAAATGGGTTCATCATAAAAATATCTTTTTGTGTACAGATGTTATAAATTAAAGTGTGCGTGTCTCCGGGGATTCTCCGAAGGCTATGGACGACCACCTCCATTTTTTACATAGGGTCTATGACTCACAAATACCCCTGCCATTAAACGTCTAGCTGCGCAGCAGACCTGTCAGGACATCACCAAGAGCATCAGTGTGACTCACTCGTGACAGCCACATGACGGTTGGCTTTTCCTTCATCGATCACATCCATCACTTCCTCTGGACTTGTGACAAAGCGCTCAGTGCAGCCCTGCACAAACACAGATATTAGCTTGACTGCATGGTCCCCCCCCCCCTCCAACATCATTAAAGCTTCATGTTTTTCATAAACAAATACTGCCTGGACGGTAGGCACAATGTCGGTAAAAAAAAAAAAAAGGCTCTGAATTTCTTTAACAAAGGAAGTTTATATATATGATTAAACAGAGAGAGAAAAAGTAGCTAATTTGTTCAGGTCAAATGTTACTGCGGATGAAAGATGAATTTTTTCGCCCACTTAAATATAACTCACCTTCACATAAGGAACTCTGTATTTGTCTTCGTGTACCGAAAGGTTCGTTTTTGTCACTGCGAAAGAATAGAAAAACATCTCAAAATCTCATCATCTTTTTGTACTTTTGCATATTACGTGTTTGTTTTTGTTTTTTTGTGTGTGTGGTTTCGACTCCACTGCATCCATTCAGCTCCCTTGTAGTAGCCTCCGTTATTCCTGTAAGTGCAGCTTAAATGTCCCACAGGCCACTGCTCAGACCTTCCCCTGCATACAGATGTGGACTTTCACCACTGCCCTCTGCTTCACTGGAAAGGTAATCACAGGGATGTTGCCTATAGTTCTCCCTTCAGGCTCTCCCATCATTTTTTTTTTTTTTTGCACTGAGCTGATAAGACAGGACTGAAGGGGAGTAAAGACGGATCACTGAGATGCTGTGTTTCTCCCTGATTGGGCGGTTGTGTGCTGAAAACCCCCCTCGGTGTTATGGTGGTCTACAGATAAGCAAAGCTATAAATTCAATAACCCATACTGCTAATGTTTCAGTTAACTCTTATCGGTCCTTTATAGGCACACTTTAAATCCAGGTTCAAACGGTGCAGAAGTGCAACCCTATTACTGCAGGTATCTCTGCTCCATCTACTAATAATTCTATCTTGTCCTCTGGGGAAATAACACAAATAGTATTGCCAGGGCACAATATTTCGCTGAAAAGAAAGCTAGAAAAAAATGTCCAATAATTCTACCTCTACTATCTTGTCCTCTGGTGAAATAACACAAATAGTATCGCTAGGGCACAATATTTTGCTGAAAAGAAAGCTAGAAAAAAATGTCTTTATTGTTTTGTTAACATCTTGTCTTAAATGGAAATGACATTCTTTCGTACGCATTAGTTCTCCCTGTCTGGCCAAAGGAATTCCTCCCACAGTCCGAAACATTGCTTTTAAGAGAAGTAGACAATTTAAACTGACCACAGAACCAGTAGGTGGGACTGGTAGAAACTAGGGATGATCGATGTTAACTTTCGGACAATATCCGATATCGTCCAAAGACTTAATTTCCGATACCGATATATGCAGTGATGTGCTGTGTCACAATGACAAATATTCACTTTGACTTTCACTTCAGAATTATTTTTAGGTCACATCATCTGGGAGAAGCCCAAGCATCGCATTATCGGATTTTCATTGCGAAAAAACGATAACGATTTTTACCGATATTAGTACGTTATTACTGATATCGCCGATAATAACAATAACTCTCATTAGATTATCTCCAGTTTATTTTTTATTATCACTGTAATGTCCCGACATAGTCCATATGTGCTAATATGTAGCTAAGAGTCAACAGGTAACAGGATTTAAAATAGAATAACACAACAACACACCATCCAACAGGTCCCGGATTTTGTCCATGTAGATTTCAAAGTAGGAAACCTGGAAAAAAAAAAGAGACAAATATAATATTAAAATAAAAAAAAATATTGCTTATAGGAATTAAGGGGAAAAGCAGACCGAGACACTGATAGGGATTAATGAGTGGAAATGATGAATGTTTATTGTATAAATTTGCAATATGCTGCCGCAGTAATCCGTCCTTTATGTTCCTGCCAAGATGCAAGATCTTCTGTTCTACAACTGTGGCATAAAAAGTTATCATGATTTACATATTATGATTTATGGAGCTTATTCAGGTAAGGATTGGCTGAAGGACGAGTGAATGCACCACAACGTGCCTAACAGCAGTTCCTACCTGTGCGCGTGTTTCACACATGAATGGGTATAATATAAAAACTCACACCAACCTTGATATGAAATTCTAGGTTCTCATCCATGGCAAATATATGTTCAAATATGTCATCCGCGATCCGAGGGATGATTCCCATACCCTGTGGATCGTGAAGGTTTCCCTAGAGGGAGGAGAAAACGTAAGATAAGAAGAGGGATGATTTAAAAAAAAAAAGAAAAAAGGTGCCACCGGTAAAAGAAAGGTAAGCAGATCAGTTTTTGACACTTCAGAAAAAACTGGCTTGTTGTCACCGGGGGTTTCAAAGGTTGTTTCTACAGAGGACTGGGGACATGAGATAAAGAGTGACAACAGTGACGGAGGCAGATGAAGTGTCAGGGAAGGCGGATAAAGAGGAAGAAAAATATGACATGAATGTGTGCGCTGCAGCAGGAGGCTGTCCATCTCTTCAGTAACTCAACGACACTGTACCTCCATGGTGTGTGTCTTTCCAGAGGACGTCTGCCCGTAGGCAAAGATGGTCCCGTTGTATCCACCGAGTACATCTGGAATGAAGAGAGTGTGAAAAGAAAGTGTTTGTTTTTATTTAATTAAGAAGAAATGCAGAAATGCAGAGTATGAAACATCGCAGGAGAACCAGCTCCTCAGGGTATGTAACATCGCAGGAGAACCAGCTCCTCAGGCCAGCTGTTCACTTACATATCAAGGACAAAGGACACACTTTCCAGGATGGAAATGCAAATGTCTTGGCCAGAGAAGACAGATTGTATGAAAGAGGAGTGAAGGAGAACCCATTTACGTCAACCTGGAGAAACCATCGCTCAACTGAGGAGGTAGACTAAGACGGAACCTCTAATCGACCTACAACGTTGTCCTGGCTTCTCTCCCCAGAAAACCCAACTCAATCTCTCACCTACTGTAAAAACACAGACATATCCCAAGGGGCACTTCCTCAGGTGATACCAACCTCCCAGAGGTGTCTAACAACCCCCCTAACTCACATACCCCTTGTGATCAAAATCGTTTTTGCCTTTAGAATTGGATGTGGGCACTATCTTTGTTTTACTACAGCGACCTTGGCCTCGGGTTTTTTAAGTCACTCATAGGTTAAATACAGTGATGTCCGATAATATCGGGCCTAACAATATTATCGGCCCGATAAACCCAATAACGCAACGCCTGGGTTTTGCCCAAGATGCTGGAGTCGCTTGGGGCAAACGGTTGCATATATCGGTATATATTGGAATCAGACATTAAGTGTTTGGACTATACCGGCATATCGGATATCGGCAAAAAGTTAATATCTGACAACCCTAGTTTAATTGAGAATTTTACGGCAGTCAGTTAGAACTGAAGAAGCCTCTTGGATTAGAGGTGAAACGTCTTCCAGTGGAGCATTCGGACTGACGCCATACTGCGCCCAAGCACGTTTGCCCCCTTAAAGCCGAATTCTACGGCTAGTGTGAGTGCAAGTGTTCAATATCTGTACGTATGCAGCACTATTGACCGTGAATTGCCACCGCGTGCAGTCAATAAATCAACAAAGCAGCTGTTGCAGCCGTGTCGTAGGATTTGCGCTCGATCACACCGCTTTAATTATGTATAAACAACAGTCACTGACATATGACTTGGAGGCAACCGTGGTTTACCTCCGGGATCATGTGAGTGACAAGGTAAATGAGGCTTTGGGCATTAAGGCGATACAGAACAGTCCAGGTGTCCTTCGAATAAATCATGTTAGATAAGTTGACCTGGACGACTGAGAACCTTCACGGACGAAGGCAGGATGGACTTTTGATTCCAAGACAGAGGGGACTATTTCTCATAAAGGCTAAGTTTATGAGTTTATTTAAGACGGGTGAGAAGCTGCAAGAGCTCTGTGGCTGCACACGATAAACAACAGCCACCTGCAGCGACGGGGGGGGGGGGGGGGGCGGGGGGGGGGGGTGTGAAAGACCAACCGTGTACAAAATACATCGTTCTCTTCTCTCTGAGTCAAATGTACCAGTTCTTATTATAAAAAATGTGTTTTACAATAAAACACTGTAGCAAAAGTGAAACATCAACACAGACTCATTTTAGCGGTTTTCAGCTGCAGCCATGCAGCAAAGGAGTGGGTGAAAAATGATATACCGTCAGTCAGACGCAGCCAAATACACGCTGGTACAACTGACTGAAGAACTACTGACAGGGCATTCAAAATAAATCAATTTGTGCTAAATTGTGATACCTGAAAGGAGGCCAAAGTGGAGAAAAATTACATTAAGTCTAAGTGAGAGAGATTAGTGCAGCTGCTGCAGTTTAAAAACAAAAAAAACGTTACCTTCTTTAGCATAAAAGAATCCAGATAATGTTCTGGATCAGAGGACAGTTTTATTGGGCCTCAGACAGTGGTTCTGGTAAATATATTAGAACCAAGTTGTGAAGTTGGTGATGAGGAGATTATTTTTTAAAATCTCATAAAAATAAAAACCCTGAGTTTTTTTTTTCTGGTTCACTTGAGCCCTTTAAAAAGACACCTTCATCTGCATGTATAAGTGAAAATAAAATGTTTACATTTGTAAATTTTTTTAACTTGTATATTACTTACTTTTTATGTTTACTAGAGCTGTCAAAATCAAAGCGTTAATCAAGGTCATTTTAATGCATTTTGCTGGCAAAATGACATGAAATGTATTCATATAATTACATGTCTCGCAGTTGATACACGTGTTATCAATTTACCCAAACAGCAGGAAAGGGTTTTCATTTCTCCAAAGTTCCTCATGCTTACTCACAAACAAAATCTGGTCTGAAAAACATGACCACTAGGTGTCATTTTATTATCTATTTTAGCAATATATAGTGAAATAAACAGTCAATTTATGCATATTATTCATTTTTTATTGATCACGATTAATCGTGATTAATTGTCATGTGATTAATCAGACTAAAAAAAATACATAAACACTGTAGAAATGATTGCAATACAAACACTACAGATATCAAACATCATCAAAGACGATGTTTATTGGCAAAAGTGTCCCATAGTCCATTAGCAACTGTTGTCTACACAGAAATATGTTGCTGTTTAAATATTCTTCTTATGCACACGGCACTTCTATGAAGTCATATTATATACAAAGATTCATATTATGAGTAATGGGTGTTTGTGTCCACACCTTACAGCCAGATAAAGGATGAGGTTCTATTCCCGGTTGATAGATTATGGTATATGTGCATGAAGTTAGCATGTTCCCCCCCCCCACATTTGGGCAAGCGTTTCCTCCCTCTCCTCCTCCAGGCAGGATTACGTTTCTTGCAAACTCCAAATGACTTGTTTTTTAGCACTCGATCATCTCGGGTGAGGACACATCTGCTGAATATATGTGGACGTTAAGTATAATTGGTGTTTGGTTGTAAAAACCAAATTAATGAGATGGACCCAGCCACATGGGCTTGGAGCTTTTTCAGGAAATCATTATTACTCAACACCTTCCAGTCCTTTGTCATAAAATACTCCCTGAGGCTGAGTGATCCAAACAGAGGACGTCTTACGGAGTGTTCATCGGTGATTTTGAATTGTCTGTGATGGACTAAAGACAATAAAAAAAAAGCTTTGTGGAACATTTACACTAAAATATGCAAAGCATAGCTTAAGTACAGGCACTTATATGAAGGGCTTATATATGTAGTTACCATAACCGAAGGCTTATGGACCACACGACACACAGTGTCCAGTATGTAACCATCTGTTTATACAGCTTCTGTGACAAGAAGCCTCTCGGCTGCCTGTCAGCTCAGGGATGCAGAGAGAGCTGGATTGTACTCACACAAAATGTGACAACAAATAAATAACAGACAATTACAAAGCCATACAGTTAATAGCTATGAATTCTGAACAGGGCGGCAGCGGTAGCTGTCATCTTCTGATCAGAAGATGCCGCGATAGTGGCGGTGAGACGGACTTTCATTACTTATAAATCTTTAAATAAAACCATCTTGTCTTGACGCAATTTTGCTATTATTATTATTTATGAGTCAAAATAGAAAGTGAATGAGGAGGTTTACGGCCTCACAGATCGTCAGGCGCTCATTGTTAGTACTGTCATACCCACTGTCACAGTTTCTTTTTGTTGAGGTGTGGCAGAGGCAGTGGCAAATGTGCTCAGCTGTTGGTGCCAAAGAGTCACCGGGACGTAAAACTCCGATTTCTGGGCACATGGTCTGTGAGAAAACACAACACTGCATAACCGTTTTTGTGCATCACGCCACGATTGCCAGAGAGTTAATCCACCCGTCATGCCTTGAGCGCCACTGCAGTGTTGCCACTTACAGAGGTCCCCTTTGACCATATAGGGATGGACCTCATCAGGCCTTTCCACCGCAGTGCCCAGTGGTACTGGTCTGTCCTGGTGGCGAAAGATTGCGCCACAAGATATCCAGAAGCGGTGCTGTTGCATAACATCTCTGCAAAGAGTGTTGCTAACGCGCTCTTCCAGGTCATCCTGCGGGTCGGGATCCGGGAGGAGGTCCTGACAGACCAGGGAACATCGCTCATGTCACAGACCTTGAAAGAACTTTATGGATTTCTGGGCATTAAGTTTGTCCATTAAGTCCATGATCTGAAATTCATTCAGGAGGACAGTCCAAAATGAGAGTGGCTAGACCCCTTGTTGTTTGCAGTGCAGAAGCTTCCCCCGGGCCTCTAAGGGATTTCCCCCCTTTTGAGCTTCTGTTTGACAGAAAGTCGAGGGGCGTGTTGGACCTAATTAAAGAAAACCAGGAGGAAGGTCCAAGCACCAGTAAAAATGAAATCTTGGACCTTCAACACACCTTCAACACATCTTGGACCTCAGAGCAAAGCAGCATGGGCACCAGGGAAAGAATTACGGGTGGATTTGTTCAAGGTCAGGAGCGTGAGCGGCGCCTGTATGACAGAGGGAGTAAACTGCTGCGCTTTTCTTTGGGGGATAAGGTTTTGGTACTACTCCCATCCTCAAAGTGGTGCAGAGGGAATTGAAACAGATGCTGGATGCTTTGCTGGATGCTTTGATTTTGAGATTTTTTATTTTTTGCTGTATTTTATTTACATCTATGCAAAGTATAGCTTAATAAAGGAGTACAAACGCAAATAATAATTGTATTTTATAACCTGGGATATGCAGAAATATGAGTTAACAGAAGAAAGGCTTGCTTTCTTTCATTACATATGTTGGAATGTGCAGAAAATAGGTTTAAATCTCAAGTAATTTTTGATGCAGTGTACACAGAACTTAAAGATAGAAACTAATAGAACAAGCTTTGAAATAGAGACAGTTGAGTTCAATTTTATATGATGGAATATGCAGAAGGAAATAGAATTAGGCTGAAAGGTCAATTGCTTCATAGAGTATTCAGGTTGTGCATGTTTTTGTAAATGTAACTAAGTAAATCCAAAAATAGTTACATCGAGGGCAACTGGATGAAGTAGGTTTTTTTTTTGAAGACGTTTCACCTCTCATCCAAGAGGCTTCTTCAGTTCTGACTGACCGCTGGGAAATTCTGGTATTTAACCTCAAAGAGGCTGCATACCTGTAACGAAGTTACTATTACTATTAGTAAGTAATAGTTACTTACTATTCTATGGTTAGAGGTGTGAATGGGGAGTGATACCACTATGGACTACTAGCTTCACCTGAGCGAAACTTTTGGCTGGGTGTCCTTTGGAATTAAACTGTGGTCTTGTTTTCAGGGAGGGGGTTGAATTTTTTGGGAAGAGAAGTCAGGATGACATTATAGGTGGATGAAAGGTTGTTGGTTTCTCCAGATTAATCGATTCTATATGGCTTAAAAAAAAACCTACTTCGTCCAGTTGCCCTCGATGTAACTATTTTTGGATTAAATGACCTGGATGATTAAGAACCTACACTGACACATAACTAAGTAAAGTCATTGTTGAAGTAACTAATTACTTTTTCCAAGTAACTTGACCAACACTGCTCATATCATATAAATATACAAACATAGATACATATATGTTGTAAGCTAAGAACTAAAAGCTGCATTTAAAGTTCACAAATAACAGCTCCTTACAAAATGAGCACCTATGACCCTCAATGCTGTGTTTTTAAACTGAGAAATATTAAATAGTTTTAGAAAAGTACGATTAAAAAAAGTACAGATGCTGACACTGAGGTCCATTTTCTAGAATGATATTCTCTGCTTCTCAATTCATCACTCCAATGTTGTTACTGGTGCTGCACAGCAACACATTTTTCTTTTTCTTTTTTTTTTTTGCACTGCGTTAGCCCTGGCATGGAGACCAAAACTGAGCATGACACACATTAGAGACCAGTGCATATGCAGAGCGTGTCTTTGGGAGGAAATAAAGACAGCAGGAGATGATATCAGCGGACAGCCAGAATCTTTGCCAAGGAAAATAAAAGAGGAAAGGAAACAAAGCAAAGAGACGGCATGAGAATGAAGAAAAAAACAGAGAAAATGTCAGCCGCAAAAAAGGGGAAAAACAGCCAGTAAGACAAACAAGGTGAGAAAACCTATTTATCTCCACAGACCAGTATTCCCTGGTATGGCCTGTCCTCTCCATTAACCTTTACGGAGACGCTCCAGAATCACATTGCATGCCACAGTCTGTCATCTGCTGTGTAGTACATGATTTGTCTCGGTCGTTTATATTTTTTTCTTCTTTCTACAGCTTCTGTTATTCCTACCTTCAGTTTTACAAGTGACCACCCCTACTACGTTGTTACATTTTCATATTTCATATACAATTTATTCGGCGGTGTCTCCTAAGATTGGTCCAGAAAAATTCAATTTCATCACCGAGAGAAAAAAAAAAAAAGAGATTCGGATGCAGATGGAAGGAGTGAAAAAAAGTGACACTTGATGTTTCTTTTACCCAGGGGACAAATCTGTGTCCCCTCGTGCCGTGCACTGACAAAAGCCTACATCGGGGCAATTTTATGCTAATAACCGTACGTCAGGTGACGGCACTGTGTCACAAAAACTGATTTTTTCCCTTTGCAACAATCGCACCATGCTGATACAGAGATAGTGCAAAAGTAGTACACCAGCTTCTTTCTCAGTTTTTTTTTTTTTTAAGTACAAAAGTAGTACACCAGCTTCTCTCTCAGTTTTTTTTTTTTTTTTTTTTTTTAAGAGCACCAGGAGTTTTCCGTGACTCACCTTTGACAATCTGCTTGGCGCAGGTGTTGTAGACCTGCTCCTGGGTGGTGTTAGTCGGGAAGACCTGGTCAAAAACATACGACCTCCCCTGTGAAAATCAAGACAAACAATTGTCAGCACACTTTCGACACCTCTGCCTCCCACGTGACAGAGGTCTCCACTGCAAATGTGTGTGTGAGAGAGAGATAAAGAGATAAAGAGAGAGAGGCTCAAAGGAAAATCTGTAGAGGGGGGCAGCACGTTATCATCATCTCACCATTATTGTTTTTATCACTAAAACATTATGTAAAGCCATATTGCCACTGTAAAAAGGCACCACATCAATATTTCCTTTAGGGCACACTCAACATGTTTTATAGATGCTGTGTACACCCGCAGTATATATTATACTGCGTACAGTATGGCTTGGAATAGCAGAGCATGTATCACTTAAAGAGCCTCGTGCTTGTCTGTTTCCCTTTAGGAATGACAGTACGGGTCCAGTATATAGTTGGTGTGTGCTATGGGCAGGCATTAAGTGTTTTTGAATAAGTGCAGTGCAGCGTGAAATCCTGTGGAAAAGGCCGAGTGAAAACAGAGCGAGGGCGAGCGGGGGGGGAGAGAGAGAGGGTGGAAGAGAGAAAGAGAGAGCGAGTCGCATCTTAGGTGAAGCCATTAGTGAGCTCTGAAGACTGAAGAGTGATGGAGTAAAGGGGAGAGCAGATTGGAGAGGCAGAGTACCAGGGGGAAACAAATGTCGGGGCCATGGTGTAAAAATGACTGCACACGAGACGGCTCGGAAGCAATGTTGGTGCCCGCGTTTAAAAGCGGTCGGATCATATGTCAGTTAACAAGGCAGCCGGGCAAAAAATTTGCCTTTTCAATGACGGGTAGAGTTACACAACCTGGCAGACTATTACTATTACTGAAGTTGTGCTGAAACTGTACTATACCAGAGACATTGTATAGATCAGGGGTGTCAAACATACGGCCCGGGGCCCAGAACTGGCCCGCTAGGTTGTTCAATACGGCCCGCTTGTTGCTTTAAAAAAAATAGACAAACACATATACACATGTTCAGGGTATTGTTTTTGTATAATTATATTGAATTAAATATGCATAAACAAAAATAAATATCAAATATACTTGTAATTCTTTGCATGAAAACAAATGAGGAAAAACATGGACTCAATGTGATTCTTGGTTAATTACATTATGATCGTACTGGTCCGGCCCACTTGACATCTAATTGGGTTGAATCTGGCCCGTGAACCAAAATGAGTTTGACATCTCTGGTATAGATAGTCGTCCTCTAAAGCTGAGTGAACACCACAAGAATTAGATAGAATTTACCCCAGATTCCCAGTTGGCCATAGTCTGCACCAGTCTGCACTAATTAGGGGCAATAAACATGGTTGTCCGCACAACAAATCTGTTACTGTGCGAGGGAAACAGACTCCAAGCTACCTCAGTATGAGTCATCCATCATCTTTGAATCATTTGACTTGAAACTGGACAGAAAAAGGATGAGAATTAACAAGAGCGTCAAAAACCAATCATAAATATCGACAACAGAGCAAACCTGAACCGCAGGAATTGAAGAAATGGATCAAACTGAGAAGGCGCACAAGTGCCTACAGTACTGTATGTAACGTGATCCCTCATCGCAGGCAGTTGCTAAGAGTGACAAAGGTTTTTATTTTTTAACATATTTATCCTCTACGATCCACTAAGTCACATTATTATGAATTACATAATTATGACCATTGGTTAATTCGAGTATAAAATGTCAGTACAAGCCAATCAGAGGTGAGTTGGCACACGCAAAAGAAAAAAAAAACACAACTTTATGACTTCTCCTAGGAGACGTCAACTCCTGTGCCGTTCACACGACAATAAATATGTCCTTTAAAGCCCTATGTCTAATGTGTATTTTTTTTTACCTCCACCGATCGTCATACTCATACTTAGTGCTCTTGTCTCGCATTTAGAAAATGACATTTGAAAAATTATATGTTTCTGTCTATTATATAAGAAAGCCATACGTCATTAAAGGTCACTCTAAGCTGTAAAGCATGCGTGTTTGGACTGGCAGGCTTGGATAAAATGTCAATACGGTAATTCCTTGTATTTTCCGAGATTGCAAATGAGTAGGATTGGGTATCATTTTTGCTGCTGTTGTCTTCTCTCTACAGCTGCACTCAATCTGGAACTGACGAGCCAGAGCACTGGGAAGGGGTGGTGGGGGGGGCGTGGCCTCCAATTGAGAACAGGCAGTGTTTAAGCTTCAGCTCCACATGGATTCAGTGCCAGACTGTGTTAGACTGCTAGACTGGTAATGCTGTTATTTGGTTAACTTGGTTTGAGCTTCTAATGCTGCAAAGTAATTCCTGTTTTTTTGCTCTTTGCTCTTGTTGTTTTGGGGTTTGTTTGTTTTTTTCCATTCCTGCCCTATGTCTTAGTTGTTCTTGTTTTTGTTTTTTGTTTTTTTTGAAGTTTTTATCCTTGGGGTTTTGCCATCACTGATACTTATGAACAGAGCACCACTAAGTGGATTGGTGGGGTTTTGCCATCACTGATACGAATGAACAGAGCACCACTAAGTGGATTGGTTGCATTTACCCCCTTACTGGGTCCTGAACCCTCCACCTCACAGTGACTCTTGCACATTTATCTTAAAAAAGAACACTATTACTTATCCTTGCTTTTCTCAGTAGCACAATAGAACCCAATTAGCTAGAAGGCTAATTTCTATTGGCTGTCCCCCTGCCAGAAGAAGCATGGCAATGTAGCATGGTAGCGACAAGCCATAAATTACAAAAAAAATTTACATGACAGGTACATTATTTTACTCTGTAGACACAAATATTTAAGACGTGTACTTCAGGGGATTAAGGGCTAGTGTTGCCATATTTGGTTGGCAATTAGCCATTTCTTTAGATACAGTTGCCCAGGTGGGTAGACAGTGATATGATGAGAGCAAACATGTCCATGTTTTTTGCAGCTTTCTGTTGTGCCTGAAATTTGCAAGTGTGAAATTGATACTTTTGCTGACTTTTTAAACATATTTGAAAGTGCGATTACTGTCCAGCAGAATGTCTACATATTTGTAATCCTGCCAATAGCCCTAACACTAACCAGACCCCTCCTTCTTATCCTTATCTCTGGAGAATTTGTACCCAAAAGTGAGGAAAGAATAAGGATTCAGAAGGATAAATCAGTGCTGGTGCTTGTGGAGTGAAAGACAGTCTGCTCTGCATTTTTGGCTGGGGGAGGGATTTGCACCTTAAACCCTGACCCTAACCATATATTTACCTACTTATTTGGTGTTTGTTTCTCCATCTCCCAAATTATTTTTGAGCCCTTGACCTAAGCAACATTGAGGACCTCAAATATAAACATTTAAAGTTTATCGCTCCAAAAGATAATGCAGTACTTCTTTTGTCTGCTGTGGAGTTATTAAAGTTTCCAATGTCACTTCCTAAAAAAAAAAACACTTTTGTTTCCTCCCGACTCAAATTACAGCATTTCACAAGGTAAACAGCTAAACAAAGACTGTAGCCGTTCCATGAAAACCTCTGGTCTCCCTTTGGTCTCAGCACTGTTTCATTTCTTTACACAGCCACTCTCCACAAACAGTCTCTGTCCTTTTAAAGAACAGTCAAACAACTGAGCAGGCACAAAATACTAATGTGCACACATTGGTCAGTGGCATGAATAATGAATCTGCGCCACGTTTTCGAGACTGGTTTCTTTTGCATGAGAAGGTACCATCTGCGTACGAGGCACGCGCTACATTTTTTTTTAACGGTAGTGTGGAAGTTATCATGTAATCACAAGGTTATGGGAAGTAAAGTAGACCCTTATTTTGAACAGGATTCTACAGGAACTTTTATACATTAAAATGTGGTGTTTGGTTATTATGTAATTATCAATAGTACACAGCTGTAAAAAAAAAGTAAACACATCCCTTCTGATTCTTGTTTGAAAAGAAACCCAACAATTCTATTTCTTTAATACTATTGCAAATGATAAAATATTCAGTCGTCAAATTTTTAAGAGCAATTTTTGTGTTAACAGCTCATCTAATCCTTCATACTACTATTTGCTGAACCTTCTGTCTACGTAAATTTATTTTTTGTGATTGATTTTTTTTTTAATGTTTTTAATGTTGTTTGGTCTAATTGAGTATTTCTGTATGATGCATATTGTTAATTTAAATGTCATTCTCATTTAAGATTAAAATGCATGCTTAAAAAAAAAGCTATTTCCATTACATCCAGAAGAGTCATTAATTATTTATGAAAAAAAAAATGTAATGATTTTGTAATCATTAAACTAGACTATTTCTCAACTGCAGTCCTACTCCTTTAACAGCTGCTTTCAGGAGGTGAACTCACTGCTGCAGGTACAAACCTGTGGCACATTCACACTGATTAGTGCTGCAATTTTCAATTAGCCATTTGTTTGCAACACAGGGTGCGGTATACATCAAATGTAATATGGAAAAAAAAAGATTAATAGAAAAAAAATCTTTTCAGTCAGTGTACATCTATATATATATGTGTATATATATATATATATTGACCTGATGCTCCTGTAGGCGTGTTGCAGTGAGATACATTTGGTAAGTAAAGCCTCATATGTACACATCACGGTCAGGGCCTCTGGGTTAGCGCAGATGTATGATGACGTTGGGCTGTCGGAATGAATCAAGTCAATAATGTGCACGCATGTGAAAGTGCGTATTTGCACAATATTCAATTATGCAGTACGTGCAAACCTGCGTGGCGCTCCGTATCGTAATGTCAAATACCCACATCCCTTCCGTCTAACCTATGAACTGCTGCTGTCTGCCAGAAAATAAGAAAAGATGGAGAATTCCAGGCAATTCAAAGAGTCATAAAAGGTGAGGGACAGATGGAGAGATTAACAAACTACAGAAATAAACAGAAACCGGTGAATCAGTGGCAGTAGGTATGGAATTCCATAAAAAAAAAATCAATCCAAGCAAGGCTTGTTCAGGATTGTATCGTGTGTGTGATTAATTCTCAGAAAGCTGTCCCCAGGGGAATATTTTTCTCTTTAAGATTACAACGATTATTGCAG